CAATCCCAGCAGTTTATCAGAAGCTGGGCATGCAGCTGCGAGTGAACGCGGAGGATCAGGTGTGGAGTGATCTTAAAGGAGTGAATAAGATGGCAAGTAAGTCATGTAGAGCAGGTCATAGTAATCCATAGAATACACTGAACAGCAGAACGTGAGTGTGCGCTTGATAGATGCTTTGGTGCGTCACTACAGTCCTCACAGGGACCCTGTATGGTAGATATAACTGCCCCCATTAGCAGATGGAGAAAAGTTCACAAGTATTGGGAGCTCTGAAAATAAAACCAACTTAATTCATTTAGAAAGTTTTCAAAACAGGTTAAAACTGAAAAGATTTGCACTCTTTTTTTGAACAGTATATATATAATCTGAGTAAAATGATGTTTTTTTAAATGAACTGATAAAGAGTGCCAAGTATAAATCGACCATACAAATCTGGAGTCCTTGAAACTTGGTTTGAATAGGAAGTTTGCAAGTTCAAAGAATGGGTCTTCATCCTCTGTCACCGACAGATGCGGTTCTCCAGTTTGTTTCCTTCCCTTCTTGCCATTTACGGCCCCGCGCGACTGGCTGTGAAATAAATGCTCAGCGGTCGTTGCTGCTTCCGCTTCGCGATAGATCAAGGTTCGCTATAGCTGGCGCGTCAGTGACAGCAGTGTTTGCAGTTAAATTCTGAGGTGATGGAACAAAAAGGCAGTTTCTTATTTGTGTTTGACAAAAATGTTAATTGATGTGTTTTTAAAACCATAATTCTATTTGCATTCTGGTAGATGAGGTGAATTAGTGACATCCACAAATAGACTGGCTCTTGAGCTGCCGCTAGTGGGTGTTGCAGTTCCTCCCTCTTCAGAACCCGGGGACACTGTCAGGAGAACTGGCCGGTCCTCCGTCCAGGGCTCGTGTGCGTCCGCTGTGTGCCACCGTTGCTTGGAGCACGTACACCGGGTTTTCTGGTGATACTCTTGGAAATACCTAGTTGTTACTCTTTCTAATGTCTGCCAATTTTTTTCTTCTAAACTTGTAAGTTCTATTGATTTATTTTCAGATTTGGAAGAACAGTACATCATTTTAATTTTTCAAAATGGCCTAGATCCTCAGGCAAACATGGTGTTTGAAAATATCATTACTGAAATTGGTATAAAGAATAATGTGTCCAATTTTTTTGCGAAAATTCCCTTTGAAGAAGCCAATAGCAGGCTTGTTGCCTGTACAAAGACGTATGAAGAGAGCATCAAAGGAAGTTGTGTACAAAAGGAAAACAAAAAAAATGTAATTATGTTTTAAAATTTTTCAATGTACTTTTAAATAATGGACAGCATGAAAGGGAAATATGTTACATTATTTCACCTCTCATTTTGGAGTTAGATCTTTTTAATAATTCCATTTCAGAATTACTTGCTTTTTATATGTGATTTGTAAACTACTTTTGTCAAAACACGAATGGTGGGTAGGTGATTTGTGTCACAAATAGAACTTGGTGTAGGCATTTTTAGTTTTCTTCCCACACTCTATTCTTATCTTTAATTTCTGTCTCTTTTTCTCTCCTTTTCTCTTTACCTCCCACTCTCAGCCTACATTTACAAACAGGGCTATATTCAAACCGATTATTATCGTTTCTTAAATTTGCTAGTCGTTATCAGTGATGCCATCGGCTTCAATATAAATACAGGAATTTTGGTCTCCAGTGCATTGTACATTTATATATAACATGCACATATGTGTTTGAAAGCTTGGCAAGTGAAGAATATATATGATTTGATCTTGACTGTCAATATATGTATCCAAACATATAGTAGGTACCTCAGATCCATCTGAACCAAGGGCTTCAGTACCACTGTAACACATAGAATAATGTTAAGTGACACAAATGTGACTTACATACTCTTAAGTTTCTGTGCCACTTTACAGCAGGTGAATTTTGCTCACTTTTAGAAATACTTAAAATCTTTCAACCTATGCAGACTTGGAAATCAGGTGCAATGTTGGTGTTGAGCAAGGCCTCGCCAGAAAAAAAGCTGTTGACACAGTCAGGGGGTCAAGGAGAAGAGCAGAGGAAGGGAGGGGAGGTGTTCCCCTTCGCTGGCAGAGCCGGCCTCAGGAGGTGGTTCCAGGGAGAGAAAAGAGCGTCTGGAGCCTGAGGCTGCGGTGGGTGCAGATGCCAGTGACCGGCGCGCACAGACTTGTTTTTGTGTCTGGAGGAGGCGTTCGCGGGCCTGGGCTCCTCGGGCCTGAGCTCTGTACCCCCTGAGTGGCTGTGCCACTGAGTTTAGACAGACCTCCACCCCCGGGAGAAAAAACAGGGTATCTGCTCTTTGGGTTTTACTCACATGATCTCATTTAATATCAATAGTAGAGATCTTAGACAAAACCAAGAAAACCATTGTTGAAAAGTGGGAAGAGTGCTGCTGTTTTAGAAGCTGCGGGTGCCAAGGGAGTGGGCCCCAGTTTTGCCTGTTTGCCGTTTGTAGTTGTTAAAAAGCGTGTGTACTTTTTAGATTCATATTTTCATTTGAAAAGCTTCCTTGCCTTGTGCTTGCTCTTTCTATTTAAATTTTCTCAATTGACTTTGTGAATTGATGATTTGAATTTCTTTTACCAGGTGTCTCTTGAATCTAAAATACAACTTAAAAACAAACAGGAATTCCAGCTTTTTGATGAGGAAGAAGAAACCGGAGAGACTCACACCATCTTCATGGGCCCTGTAGAGAAGTGAGAGTTCCTCCATGTTTGCAATGCTCTCAGTTTCTTGTCTGTTTTATTACACTTCAGTTATACACACGTGTGTTTGCATATATATTTACTTATTTATTTGCTTGTGTTTTTAAATTTTTTTTGCAGATTGATAGTCTACCCTCCACCTCCAGCTAAGGGAGGTATCTCTGTTACTAATGAGGACCTGCACTGTCTAAGTGAAGGAGAATTTTTAAATGATGTTATTATAGACTTTTATTTGAAGTAAGTTAATTTTCTACTAACCTTTTAGCATATCTTTAACATTCTGTAATGTATAATTTTGTTTTCTTGAGTCAAAAATTGGTTTTAATTCATTGTTGCCACTTACTTTGTGACATTTGGGAAGTAATTTATGTCTTTGTGTTTCCTCATTTTAAAAATGCTAATGATAACAGTATCTAAAAGAATTGTGAGAATGAAATAACAACACATGTCAAGTACCAGGAAAAGTGACTGTAAATGATAGCTTACTGTGTTGTTATTGTTAGAGTGTTTCAAGCCTTTTAAAAATTACTGCCCTAGACTGGGTATTAGTTTGCTGAGCAAGCACAGAAGTATGATTTCAGTCATTTCCTTCAATAAATGTTCACCAAGTTGCAGCTGTGTGCCAGCTCCTGTGTGCCAGCTCCTGTGTTAGCAGTTTATGTTCTTACAGGGAACACAAACATGGGAGTAAAGCTTTGACAAGCATTAACATGGTAGAGACACAGCAGAAGTGTAATGTTTCATTCTCTGGGGGAAGGAGCTGGGAAATGTGAGGGACCAAGAGGCCTTCCTGGAAGAGCTTCCATCATGACCCAGTGTACACATGCATATACATGTATGTGCAGTGTGTTTATACATGTATAAAGTTGTATGTGTTTACTGGTTTGTGATATATAATGGGTGTGTACATGAAACAAAACAACTGTCGGTGTCTAGTGCTCTCCAGGTTTTCTAGATTATTCAAATGTATTTCATAAAACAAGTACTTTTTAAAAACGTGGTTATTAAAGGCTGTTTGATTGATTGTGTAGCCTGCTAATGGTTGCAACCCACAGTCTGGGAAAAGAAAACCTCGTTATAAGGAGCGAGAGGTTTTGATCAGAGAAATGACACCATAATTGGGTTTCCTCAGGATCATTTTGACAAGCATGTTCATTGTGGATGTCTAGATGAAATATGATTTAAGGAAATTTAAGGTGGTATAAGAAGTCTAAGACGTTTTACTTGGAGTGAAGGGGAAATAATGAAGTGTTTTAACAGAGTTGTTTAACAAAACTCCAGGGCTAATTGAATGGATATTAAGGAGGGAAATGGCTGCCAAATAACTCCTGCTTTTCTGATGAGTGAGACCTGCAAAGTGATCTTGCCTCTAGTGAAGCAGTGACCGCAGAATCGGAACAGCTATGGGTGGACAAGTTGCCCTTTAAATGTCAGTGCTTCTGCAAAAGGGACAGTTGACTCTGTGGTTCTGGAGGTCATTTGAGTTCTGGTCTGGTGACATACAGAGCTGGGAGTCTTTACTTTCGAAGTGGTACTTTAATTATGAGGATGGATGAAATTACTTAGGTACAGATACAGAATGAGAAAAAGAGCTGTAAAGACAGAACCTGGAGAGTAGACTTTAAGAGAGAGACAGGGCGGAAAGCTGCTGCCATGAATGAATCCTGAAGGTGTTTGAGAGGCAAGAAGAAGAGGCCAGACAGTGACGGTGTGCAGTTGAGGGCAGGTGAGGTGTTAAAGGAGGGCACGTCCAGGGGTATCAACATGGCAGAGGTGCAGGCAGGTGAGGGCGGAGGGGAGCTGTGAGGTCACAGTGACCTTAAGCTCGCTAGGGTTGAGTAGAGCTGGACTTACACCCCGGTCCCTAGGGGATGCTGAGAGCTCCCTCCCTCCCTCCCTCCCCCATCAGGCCTACTGGGGAACCTCCCACTCGCACCCCCAGTGGCCTGGGGCCTCTCCACCTCTCATAGGATTGGTGGACAGAACTTCCCCTCCTGCCTGACCGTCCTGAGGTGGTGCTCGCTGCCCCCGCTGGGGTGCAGGGTCAGGGGAGGCCTGCTGGAACACAAGAATTAAGTGACATCCCAGTGTCTGCTAATATTCAAAATGTCTTGATTTCCATTGAAAATTATTTGTCTCACCCAAGAACCAGAGAGATCTCAAACTGAATGATGAAAGACAATCAATAGACAGTCTCCACTGAGATGGGACAGATGTTAGAATTATCTGACAATGTTGTAAGATATCCATCATAAGCAAAATAAAAACTCTTTAATGAAAAATTATGAACATGTGTGAAATGTGGAAAATTTGAAGGATATAAAGACAAAAGAATAGGAAATTTAAGAACTGAAACTATAATAATAAAAACTTTAATGAATATAAGCTCAACAGAATGAAGAGAACAGAGGAAAGAGAAAGTGAACTAGAAAATAGTATGTGTATCACTAACTACATCCCACTTAAATGCACTGAATATATCAATTAAAAGACTGATATTGGCTGAAAGGATAAAATAGCATAACCCCAGCATGTCCTGTCTACAGAAAACTCATTTGAAAGATAATGATATATGCAAGTTGAAAGGAAAAGTGTAGAAAAAGATATACCATGTAAATATTAAAAGAAAGCAGGAGGTACTATTTTAATATCAGATGAAGTAAACATCAAAACAGACAATTACCAGGGATAGAAAGGGACATTATACAATGATGAAGATGTGAATCCTTCAAGAAGACTTAGCAATCCTAAACTGATATGTGCCATATAACAGAGCTGTAAAATATATGAAACAAAAACTGACAGAGCTAAAAGGAGAAATGGGAAAATCCATAATATATCTGGAGACGTCAATGCCTCTCTCTGAACGGTTGATAGAATAACTAGACAGAATCATCAAGGGCATATAGAAGAACTCAACACCACCATCAACAGGGTCTACTTAACATCAGGGGGTAATATATTCTTATTTATGTAACTCTACCTACCCCCTTCTCAAAGGCACTGCTTTTCCTTTTACAAAATTTAATGGTAATGGGATAAGTTTAGTATCTTATAAAATGTGTCAAAGATTTGCTGGCAAGAAAAACTGTCCTAGACTTTAATTGCCTAACTTTGCAGATGTAGACACCTTTGAGACCTAAGAGACACATTCAAGGACAAGTTCAAACAGTTCTTGATAGCTCAGTCAAAAGATGTTACTTCATACAAATGGCCAACAAGCATATGAAAAGATCCTTGACATCATAAGTCATCAGAGAAATACAAATCAAAACCACAGTGAGCACCACATACCCATTAGGATGACTACTATGTTAATTAACTAACTAACTAACTAAGCTAGTGTTGGTGAAAATGTGGACAAAATGAAACCCTTGTGCACTGCTGGTGGGAATGTAAAATGGTCTAGAGTCTATGGAAAACAGTATAATGGGTCTTCAAAAAATTAAAACTAGAACTATCACATGATCCAGCAATCCCACTTCTGAGTATATATCCAAAAGAATTGAAAGTAGAGTCTCAGAGATACTTGCACACTCACATTCATAGTAGCACTATTCATACTTGTCAAGAGATGGAAACAACCCAAATGTTTACTGATGGAAGAGTGGACAAGCAAAATGTGGCATATATAGAAATACAGCATATACTCACCTTAAAAGGAAGGAAACCTGTCACAGGCTACAACATGGATTAATATGGAAGACATGATGCAAAGTGAAATAAGTCACAAAAAGACAAATACTGATTCCACTTAATGAGGTATCATAGAAAAAGAAAATAAATAATGGTCACCTGGTAGCTGAGGGACAGTAGAAAAGAAAATTGTAGTTTACTAACCAAGTTCCAGTTTTGCAAGATAAAATTCTGGAGATCTATTTCACAACAACTTGTATATATTTAACAATATTGAACTACACTTAAAAATGGTCCAGTTGGAAATTTTATGTCAATGCTTTTTTTCCCCATAATTTTTAAAAACGGTCTTCTCCCTTAGTTCTAATGTATACTACCTTAACAAGCCAAGCTACTGAAAAGTTCAAATGTATTGAACAAAACTTGTTGGATGAAGTGTTGCTCTGTGAATATCATTCAGGTCAAATTCTTTGATAGCACTGTTTGGGTTCCTTTGTCCTCACTGATTTTCTGCCTACTTGTTCTGTCAGCTTTTGAGAAGGTTATTGATTTCCAACAATAATTGTGGATTCATCTATTTCTCCTTCAAATCTTAGCAGTTTTTGCTTTATGTATTCTTAAGCTCTGTTGTTAGGCACATATATGTTTGTGTCTTGCAGAGTCGATCCTTTTATCATGTAGTATTTCTTTTTATCCTTGACAATATCCTAGTTCATAAGCCTACTTTCAAATGAATGTAGCTACTCTAACTTTCTTTTGATTTGTTTGCACAATGTATATTTCTTCACCCCTTTATTTTGAACCAGTTTAATGTCTTTACATTAAAAAATTACCTTTTGTTTTCAAAATCATAGTTGAATCTACAGAACAGGTTAAACTCCTGTATTTTGTTTACATTTTAGTTAATTCTATTTCATACTTAAGTAATCTACTTTTTTTTTGCAGTACGGATTTTATAGTCATTTGTTTATACTCTTGAAATTCTTTATATTTTCAGGAGGCCTCTTGACATTTTATAGTTATACTTTAAAACAAATTTCTTTCAATAAAATTACACTGTCTGCAAGTTTTGCCTTTCTGATGTAAATTAGTATTCCAGATAAAAAAGAAAACCTAACAAAATCTGTCATTTAAAAAGAAATCTGTTATATTTGTTAGAAGTTAAAAAGAGGAAACTTTTTTTAAAACTTCACTTTTAAAATAAGTAAAATGGCTGCTACCAGAACTGTTCCTCGTTTTTGACAAGTCAGGAACAGACATTTAAATAAATGCCTAAATTGCAAGTAGAAGGGCTTTGCAAAGAAGAAAATTATCTTAGTAAAAATTACTTTCTAAATTACATATGGTTGCAAATTACCTTAAAGTCATCTTTTCATCCTACATTTAAAGAAGTCATGATTTGATTGTTAGATTGTCTACTTTTATGAAATGGCAAATGAACAGCTTTACCATGACATCATTATTTAAGGGATTTATACACTGGAAGAAAAAAATGCTCATAAATGGGAGAAATTCCCACAAGTTTTTTGTAATAAATTTGGATTTTCCCTTTAGTTCTCAATTGAGAGTTATAGCTATTCTAATTAAAATCAGTAGTTCTGACACACATATATAAAAAATCCAGAACTATATATATTTAAACCCCTATAAATAGTCACAGAAAGGTTTAAGTATGTTTATCAGATCAGAAAGACAAAACAAATTACTTTAACATTCATGGATTTGTTTATGTAGAAAGTAGAAAGTTGGTTTTCTTAAATCACAAATAACTTTTTAAGTTGAATTAGCACTTTGTTTATTTATTTTAGTTTTACAAAGGGGCCATTGTAATTTGGGCTGGTAAAAGCTGCATGGTTATTCCATTATGGTATCGGTCTCCCTAAATTCAAATCTGATCTGTTCACTACATGCTCTGATTTGAAGATACTATTGTAGAAGTCAGCAGTTTGTGTTAAACTGTCATGAGCTGATTCATTGCCTTATAATATCATTTGTGGGGCCACACTGAGTTGTCTTAAAGCAAGAAGTCTGCAAGTTACATCTTTTTCATCAGCACTTGAGCTTTATAATAAACAAATATGATAAAAGTGACACATCTCGAAGATGTGCTCTCTGGGATATTTGCTGTTTCTGTGCAGATATCACAAGGCTCTCAGACTGTCCTCACTTTAATAAAAAATACAGTTATAAGAATGAATTTGCATAATCCTTTGTGGGAGTTTGGAACATAGACAAATTTACTATATCATAATTTACTTTTGTGATGTCAAGAACCAGTGCTGTTTGTTCTGATATAGACCTATAGAGGAACAGCTAAGGCAGGGGAAAACTAGAGCTCATGTGAGGTCCCTATCATGAGTCATTGTTACAGTCTCACCACTGTGCAGGTTCTATTTCTTCTTCCTTTTTGTAAAAACTAGAATATGCATCATTTATTAACTGTTTAAAACTAAACATTACATAAAGATAACAGCTTGAGATGCAATGCACATACCATACAATTCACCTATATAAAGTTTATAATTTAGTGGGTTTTAGTATATTCAGACAGTTGTACCACCATCACCACAGTCAATATTAGAACATTTTCCTCCCCCAGAAGAACCCCAGAATCCATTAGCAGTAGCTCTCCAACGTCAGGCAATTACTTCTCCTCTCTGTCTCTGTGGATTTGCATATTCTGAACATTTCATGTTATGTGTAAAGTTATAGAGTTTATGGGCCTTTGTGATGAGCTTCCTTCACTTAGCATAATATTTTCAGGGTTCTGTGTAATAGCATGATCAGTATTTCATTTCTTTTGATTACTGAATAATATTTCATTTTCTGGATAAATTACATTTTATTTTTTCTTTCATCAGTTGAAGAGCATTTCTGTCATTTACATTTTTGGTTGTTATAATGTTGCTATGAGTGTTTGATGACTGTACCCTTGTTTTAAAAGATTGGCTCTTTCAGATCATAGTTTTACTCTCAAATACCACTTTTCATTACTTGAGAGTAATCTGGTAATTATTATCAAGAATATGAAGTAAACTTTGCTAATAACTTCAGTTATAAGGAATAAATTGATGTGCATAAGAGACACTTGATCATTTTGACTATTTTTAGTATAAACTACTAAATATATTATATTTAGAGTTATTTTTTATAAAATAGATATTTGGTGCTTGAAAAACTGAAGAAAGAAGAGGCTGACCAAATACATATATTCAGTTCTTTTTTCTATAAACGCCTTAATCAGAGAGAGAGGAGAAATCTTCATGAAACAACTAATCTGTCGTAAGTCAATCTCTTTGAAAATATTCAACAGATGTAATAAGACACTCGAGTTCAACTTAGTAAAATTGTATTTAGGCAGTTTTTTAATTCTATAATCAATTAGCAAAATCAATATAATTCATACTATTATAAAACCTCAAGAATACCTTGAATTCATTAAGGTTTTAGATCTAATATCTAGATCAGCATTTTCCAAATATGCCTGATAGTTTAAAAACAGTTACTTAGATACTCAATTAATACAGGTTAGTCTGTTTTTCCCTGGATATTCCATCTATAATACCTAAGAGTGGAACCTGTGAATTTGTACTTTTAATGAGGTCTTGGGCTAATTCTTATAAGACCTGTTAGGAAAAAATACTCTGTGTGTTAGGCCTGAGCTGCTTCGTCGATGACCTGTCGGTGCAGTGACTGTGTCTGGCTCTGATGCTCGATGGTAATTGGTCAAAGGCACAGAGTTGGTACATTCTTTTGTCGTAATGTGCTGTTAAATGTCTTGAACTGATGGCAGCTCTGTGTAATATAAGTAATATTTTCCACTGTTTCACAGATTGCTAATCGTGCCTCTCAGGGTTAGTCGGTCTTCCTCTGTAAGGTGCAGTTACGCCTGCTTGTCCAGCGCGCCTCCCTCAGTCGTCCCAGGGCGCGGTCTGGGGTGCGCCCAGCGGGGTGGGGTGCTGTGCACTGTGCGGTGCCGCCGAGTGAGTGGGAGCAGGACCTCGGGCTCGCCTCCAGACTCCGTCCTGAGCAGCGTCGCGCCCCCTAGCTCCGTCTCAGATGTTCGGCTGCCTTCCCCCAACTTGTTAAATCATGTCATGCAACTGTTTGCTCTGTCAACATCTTAATCTTCGTATTTACAAATCGCTGCATATAAACCGAAGCAGTAGCGCATCCCAGAGGCCTGATAGTTCTTCTCTTGTCCTGCAGAATCCAGCAAAAGCGACATGGGAGAGTCAAAACGTGGACCCGGCATGTAGATATATTTGAGAAGGATTTTATTTTTGTACCCATTAATGAAGAGTGAGTCATAATTTCCTTTATGTTGAATGTGATGGCAGTTTTTAGAAAATGTGTGTATGAGGTGAAGAATTCATCCATCTTTAAACCTATGTCTGAAATTTGTATAGTTCTGTATGTGTGCTGCTTATTTATGAAAATTAATGGAGTTCTGCAGTGACTCATGTACAGTACTGAATTTTACAACACTGGGCCAGATCTTTCTAATCCATTGTATTCATTCAGTGTGGAATAATGTCACTTTTTAAAAATGGTGTTTCTGTGGCCTGGCAAACAACCTATAGAGACTATACAAAAAAGATGATTAGGTCACAGTATTTGAATCTCTAAAATATATTTTGGCTCTTAAACAAAAAGAAGAAACCAAAGGATTTCTGTCCTTTGCTCAAGTTGAAAACCAGAAAGCTGATTTCTTGAAACGATTTTAGGAGTAAATGGGATAAACATTTTGTTATTCTCCCTCAGTGATTAGAGACACAATGATATGTAGAATAGTATTATTATATAATTTAGAGTTGAGAGTTGTCCTATTTCATTTTGGTTTTGTTTCTCATGCCCTCCAGCCAAAGATAACTTTGGTTTATTACTTATTCAGGGGAGAACACACACCATGGGCAACTGCGGAGCCCCTCAGGAAAGCGTGTTTGAAAAACGTACAGCAGACTGTGGGCTTTGGTTTGAGGATTTGGGGGAAGGTGGAAGGAAGCGGTGGTTACTTGGGTAAAGAGCCAGCAACTCACTTAGCGAAAAAGGGAGATAGCTGGTATTTTGGGGGTTCCACGGTGACCTTATGTTTGTCCCTGCTTAGACGAATTGGAAAATGGCCTTCTTTGTCTCATTTTATCATGGGTGCAGAGTAACCTTGTCTGAGGTTGGTTTCTGTAAGATTGTTTATTTCTGATAAGCCTAGCCATGCCAGGCTTGCTTCTGAATGTGCTCTTTTTTATTCTTACTACCAAAAGCAAATTCGTTCTGTAGTATAATCAAAGTCTGTTTATTTAAAAATCATGCTTTTATCATAAAATCTGTGCTAATTAGCCCAGCCAAAGATAGGTAAGCTAGGTTAAAACATTTGGTTATGGCTACAAAGCCCAATTTCTTCAAAGCTGTATATTGAAGTCAAACATGGTATCATAATAAAGTTTAAAACTAACCTTTAATTTCTTCATGCTCCTTAGAATAAGGTTTCTTGACACTAATCTGTCATACAAAGCAACATGTGAGCTGCTTGCTAGGTGAGAGGGAAGATATACACAGCATTTGTCAGAAATGAACTGTGAAAATTCACAACAGAAATAGGATTCAAGGCAGCCCAGGTGCACCCCACTCGGTTGCTGCATCTCAGACGGAAGCTGCCGATGCTGCTTCTCTCACCTTGGTGACAGGTGGCGAACAAAGGTGTACTGTCCTGTGAAGGACCAGGAGGGGACCTGTGCCCTTTCTAGACAGAAGGGTCACCTTCCAGCATGAGGCATAAATATTTATAGACACTAATAATTATATGAGATAGGCCGCCATATACTAGTCATCTATTTTATTTTCAATTTTCTTGGTGGCATTAACTTCTTTAAACTTGAAAGATTATAAGCTCTTGTTAAAAAATTGTCCCAGTAATTGACAAGGAGCAGAAATGTAACATTTAGATCTAATCCACATCATAAGATAAGTGAAAGTACCTGTTTTAGCCTCTCTTCTCATTGTTGGTGTAAGGTCAGTGTAGCTGCTATTTAAAGGACTCATAAAAGATACGCTCCGGCTCCCAGAGGCTGAACTGGCCTCGGCGGCTCTGATGCCGCCTTCTCCTCTCAGCTGGGTGAAGGCAGAGCTTCCCTGGTTTTTAGGTGAGGCAGTAGAAAATGTACGGCTTATCCATATTGTCGGTCATAACTCGGAAATGTTAAGTATGTTAGACTTAGGTTACAGCTGTAGGTCCAAAGTCCCTGTATTATACTGCATTCAATCAATTTTTAAAACACGCTTTTCCACATTTTAGTATTCTGAAACAGAGGTGTGACTCCGTCTCCTTGTATTCCCCTGAGGAGCGGAGGCAGCTGGTGCTGCCCGGCCCCCCTGAGCCCACGCACGCTGACCCCTTGGGAGAGAGGCCTCCTCCCCCTGGCCTCGCAGCCCCGAAGCCGGCCTCGGGCCTTTCAGCCTGGGCTGTCCGCTGAGGACCCAATGCTGGGTCTGAGTATTATCACCTCAGGGAAGTTAGCGTTTTGCAGAAATGAGAACACAGAATGCCCTTTATCCATATCAAGATACTCGTTTTTCCAATCAGCAAATACCTACTGGACACCCTTCTATATGACAAATACGCTCAGTGAGGAAGTTCTCTGACGACCTGTCCTAGCGCATAACACCGTGCCGAGCAGGTAGTGAGCCCTTAGCAGTTCCTCCCGGGTTAGTGGGCAGTAGCCGACTTCAGTGGTGCAGTGTCTCGCTCATGGCCCCTGGCCTGCTGTTTGGACAAGGAAGGATTTCATATCTTCAGTGTTAAGCAATTCCTACTTTATTAATAAGAACACAGATGTGATTAAAAAGCTATATATTATATAAAATAGATTCACAAAATGTTTACTATTATACAGTCTAATTAGACTAATGAAGACATTTTAGTCTTGAGGCTAATTTTCTGTCCTTTGACATGAATAAGCCAGAGGGAAGGTGAATGGGAATGACGAAGTAGGGCGATATGATTTACATGTTGTTAAGTTGCCTGAAAAAATAATGAATTTTTCACTCAGAAAGCAAGAAAAGGGTCAAAGGATCACTTCCAAAAGTGGATGCAGGATACATAATTCTTAACAAAAATTATGTTATTTTTGAGTAGACATTGTATTCTGTTAATAAATCAATGGCCATATAAACAGTGTTTTTTTAATGGATTAATTTCAGAATTGAAAATATTGGGCATTTTTAATTTGTTCACAAGTTTTAAAAAAAAACATTTCAATTGATATTTGTTGCCAAATAGAATAAACTTTTCTAATAATGTATTCAGTAGTTTCATTTGTTTTTTACAGTGCACACTGGTTTTTGGCTGTTATATGTTTCCCTGGTTTGGAAAAACCAAAGTATGAACCTAATCCTCATTACCATGAAAATACAGTCATGCCAAAATGTCCAACTGTAGAGGATAGTTGTATTTCTTCTCCTTCAGCCAGTGAAACGGACAGTTGTTCACAAAACTCTTCTGTCAAGCCTGTAATTAAGAAGATGCTAAACAGAAAGCATTGCATAGCTGTAATTGATTCAAGTGCTGAACAGGAAGAAAGTGACCCTCCTTATCAGAGAAACATGTGCAGTGTGAAATGTAGTCTGAAAAAGATAAATCATACTGCAAGTGAAAATGAAGAATCGAATAAAGAAGAATCTGCATGCCAGAAAGTTTTTTATAGGAGTAAAAGTGAGAATGGTCTACAGAATGAATATTTAAGTTCTATGCACCATACAGGTATGTTTCTAATGCTTTGAAAAAATCAAGGAATTCCAAATAAGTTGGATATTTTTATAAACAGGATTAAGATTTCAGGGTGCAGTTTTTTTTAAATGTTTAAGAAGATAAATTTTAATGTGTATTTTACCACAATTAAAAAAACTCAAGACAGCCCAATAGGTGTGAACAAATGCTACTGTAAAAAATAACTTAAAGATTTAAAAATCATAGTTACATATAGGTACATAGATTACAGAGTCAAATACATCCAAAGCCTTAAAAAGCTCTTAAAAGCGTCTCCACTTCTCCCCTGAAGCAAACACTTTCAACTGGATTCCTGGGTATTTCTGTCCACATTTCTAAGTGACATATTGCTGCTCCTTGATTCTGATGTTTCACTTTTGGGTGACATCCGTCGCCTTCCCAGCATGGAAGGGGAGGCTGGCACCCCGTCACCACTGCCTCACACGTCCTTCCCGGCTCTCAGGGTGCAGTTTTTCTTTAAGTCAGATTGATTGAGGTATAATTTACTTACAGTAACATTCACTCATTTTATAAGTATAGCTCAGTGAGCTTTGATGAATGTATACAGTCACGTAATTACTACAACGATCAAGATTTAGAACTTCCTGTCGCTCCAGAAATTCCCTTGTGCCTTCTTACAGTCCATCCCCTCCCCCTCCTCCTCCAGAGCGCAGTTCTAAAATTGTGCCACAAGGTCTACATTTCCCATTTATAAGAACTTGAATATATTTTTTATTTCACAGGAAATTATAAATAGTAGTTGGACAATCTTAGATAAGTAAGGCAAATTAGTTCAGTCTTCTCAATTTACAGATGGGCAAATTGAGATCAAGTGGCAATAAGCAGAAATTAAAGTTTCTCTTCCAAAATAGTTGTTGACATTCAAATTAAATGTTAGTTTCTTATTCTGCCCTCTTCCTTGGGATTTTTTAGTGTAAAGAAGGATACTAGTCCAACCTCTGCTTTTTTATTTACCTTGAGTTCTAATATACTGTTAACTCGGAAATGTTAAGTATGTTAGACTTAGGTTACAGCTGTAGGTCCAAAGTCCCTGTATTATACTGCATTCAATCAATTTTTAAAACACGCTTTTCCACATTTTAGTATTCTGAAACAGAGGTGTGACTCCGTCTCCTTGTATTCCCCTGAGGAGCGGAGGCAGCTGGTGCTGCCCGGCCCCCCTGAGCCCACGCACGCTGACCCCTTGGGAGAGAGGCCTCCTCCCCCTGGCCTCGCAGCCCCGAAGCCGGCCTCGGGCCTTTCAGCCTGGGCTGTCCGCTGAGGACCCAATGCTGGGTCTGAGTATTATCACCTCAGGGAAGTTAGCGTTTTGCAGAAATGAGAACACAGAATGACTTTTATCCATGTCAAGATACTCGTTTTTCCAATCAGCAAATACCTACTGGACACCCTTCTATATGACAAATACGCTCAGTTAGGAAGTTCTCTGACGACCTGTCCTAGCGCATAACACCGTGCCGAGCAGGTAGTGAGCCCTTAGCAGTTCCTCCCGGGTTAGTGGGCAGTAGCCGACTTCAGTGGTGCAGTGTCTCGCTCATGGCCCCTGGCCTGCTGTTTGGACAAGGAAGGATTTCATATCTTCAGTGTTAAGCAATTCCTACTTTATTAATAAGAACACAGATGTGATTAAAAAGCTATATATTATATAAAATAGATTCACAAAATGTTTACTATTATACAGTCTAATTAGACTAATGAAGACATTTTAGTCTTGAGGCTAATTTTCTGTCCTTTGACATGAATAAGCCAGAGGGAAGGTGAATGGGAATGACGAAGTAGGGCGATATGATTTACATGTTGTTAAGTTGCCTGAAAAAATAATGAATTTTTCACTCAGAAAGCAAGAAAAGGGTCAAAGGATCACTTCCAAAAGTGGATGCAGGATACATAATTCTTAACAAAAATTATGTTATTTTTGAGTAGACATTGTATTCTGTTAATAAATCAATGGCCATATAAACAGTGTTTTTTTAATGGATTAATTTCAGAATTGAAAATATTGGGCATTTTTAATTTGTTCACAAGTTTTAAAAAAAAACATTTCAATTGATATTTGTTGCCAAATAGAATAAACTTTTCTAATAATGTATTCAGTAGTTTCATTTGTTTTTTACAGTGCACACTGGTTTTTGGCTGTTATATGTTTCCCTGGTTTGGAAAAACCAAAGTATGAACCTAATCCTCATTACCATGAAAATACAGTCATGCCAAAATGTCCAACTGTAGAGGATAGTTGTATTTCTTCTCCTTCAGCCAGTGAAACGGACAGTTGTTCACAAAACTCTTCTGTCAAGCCTGTAATTAAGAAGATGCTAAACAGAAAGCATTGCATAGCTGTAATTGATTCAAGTGCTGAACAGGAAGAAAGTGACCCTCCTTATCAGAGAAACATGTGCAGTGTGAAATGTAGTCTGAAAAAGATAAATCATACTGCAAGTGAAAATGAAGAATCGAATAAAGAAGAATCTGCATGCCAGAAAGTTGTTGATAGGAGTAAAAGTGAGAATGGTCTACAGAATGAATATTTAAGTTCTATGCACCATACAGGTATGTTTCTAATGCTTTGAAAAAATCAAGGAATTCCAAATAAGTTGGATATTTTTATAAACAGGATTAAGATTTCAGGGTGCAGTTTTTTTTTTTTAATGTTTAAGAAGATAAATTTTAATGTGTATTTTACCACAATTAAAGAAACTCAAGACAGCACAATAGGTGTGAACAAATGCTACTGTAAAAAATAACTTAAAGATTTAAAAATCATAGTTACATATAGGTACATAGACTACAGAGTCAAATACATCCAAAGCCTTAAAAAGCTCTTAAAAGCGTCTCCACTTCTCCCCTGAAGCAAACACTTTCAACTGGATTCCTGGGTATTTCCGTCCACATTTCTAAGTGACATATTGCTGCTCCTTGATTCTGATGTTTCACTTTTGGGTGACATCCGTCGCCTTCCCAGCATGGAAGGGGAGGCTGGCACCCCGTCACCACTGCCTCACACGTCCTTCCCGGCTCTCAGGGTGCAGTTTTTCTTTAAGTCAGATTGATTGAGGTATAATTTACTTACAGTAACATTCACTCATTTTATAAGTATAGCTCAGTGAGCTTTGATGAATGTATACAGTCACGTAATTACTACAACGATCAAGATTTAGAACTTCCTGTCGCTCCAGAAATTCCCTTGTGCCTTCTTACAGTCCATCCCCTCCCCCTCCTCCTCCAGAGCGCAGTTCTAAAATTGTGCCACAAGGTCTACATTTCCCATTTATAAGAACTTGAATATATTTTTTATTTCACAGGAAATTATAAATAGTAGTTGGACAGTCTTAGATAAGTAAGGCAAATTAGTTCAGTCTTCTCAATTTACAGATGGGCAAATTGAGATCAAGTGGCAATAAGCAGAAATTAAAGTTTCTCTTCCAAAATAGTTGTTGACATTCAAATTAAATGTTAGTTTCTTATTCTGCCCTCTTCCTTGGGATTTTTTAGTGTAAAGAAGGATACTAGTCCAACCTCTGCTTTTTTATTTACCTTGAGTTCTAATATACTGTTTTTTTTTTCTTTGAATGAGTTCAACATTTCCAGCACTAGTTACAGATATCTCAGGTTTCTCTTCAAATACTTAAATTTCATATCTAATCAATTGTATAGTTATCTCTCCAACCCAAAGTAAAATGGTCTTGTAACACCCATAACATGCTATAATATGTGCCTTATAAACTTATTAAAAAGTGAATAAGTCTAATACATTTTCTTTGGAGTTCAAAATCAGTATAAAGCTTGAAGAATCAGGAATTCAGAAAGAACCTTTATCAAAACTTGTAACTGCTGAACACACTCCTGGTACCTCTGCCAGCTCAGTAAGTCAGAAAGCTGTTGAGAAGCTGCCATGAGTCCTGGAGGGCTGATCTTTGCCCCTCTGGGGGAGGCACACAGTAAGAGGCTGGAAGGGGAGATTTAGCAGATGGTACAAAAAAGTGCATCAAAAAACAAGCAGAGAAATACTTCCTCTTTTCCAGCTCACTTTCTTTTCCAGTCTGTTTCTTCAAGCAGGATATGAAATGAAGATAGGCAAAGTAGCAATTCTTTCTCAGTTTTATTATTTTAGTACTTGAGTAGAAAGAAGTTAAAAGAGGCAGTAAACAGTCACAGTAGGGATTAATTACTACTTTGGGCATTCTGAGGACTCAGCCTGCAAGGCAGTGTGCACCCTGTGAAACAGCCCTGCCAGGTAGTGTATGAGAAGATGCTGGACATTACCAGTCATGAGGGAAGTGTAAACAGAACCATAGCGAGATTCTTCTCAATCCTGTAGTAGCGTGGCTGGAACCACTAAGTCAGGCACTAACCTGGTCAGTATTGGCAAGGATGTGGAGAAATCGGAGCCCCTGTATATTATTAGTGGGAACGCAAAATGGTTCAGCCGCTGTGAGGGCAGTTTGACAGCTCCTCAGAAGGTGAACACAGAGTCAGCATGTGACTTAGAAACTGTTTTTAGATGTACACCCAGGAGAAATAAAAACATACGTTCATACAAGAACATATACATGAATGTTCATAGCAGTGTTATTCGTAATAGCCAAAAGATAGAAACAACCCAAATATCCATCATATGACAAATGGATAATCAAATGTATATCCACCCCATGGGATATTACTAGGCAGTGAAAAGAGACAAAGGACTGACATGTGCTACAAGGTGGATGGATCTCAAAAGCAGTATACTAGGTGGAAGGTATCCCCAAAACCACATATTATATGATTCCCTTTGTCTGAAATTTCCTAGACAGGAAAATCTATAGAGTACATTAGTGGCTATTTAGGGCTGGCAGGGTGTGGGGGGGGGGCAGAAATGTGGGGAGAAGGGAGTGATGGCTGGAGGGCACAGGGCTTGCTTTTAAGGTCTAAAACACCTTGAAGATAGTTGCACATATGTGCATATATACCAAAAACCACTGAATTGTACACTTTAAATGGGTGAATTGTATAGTATGTGAATTGTATCTCCATAGAACTATTTTTTAAAGTTCTCCTTTGATCAGTATTCTCATACACTTTAATGTGAATTCCGATTGAAGTGCATGACCTAAAGCAATGGGACAAAGCCTAAGGCTTCATATATCCAAACCCCAGGGACTCCTAGTGGCCCTCTCCTGCAAGGTGATGTTCTAGTCAACGAGTAGCCAGTTAGATTGGAGTAGATACCCTCACAGATCCTAGTGGAGACCAAAGGAAAGAACCATCTGTTTTATGTGGTTTACCCACATAAAACAGATGGTTCTTTTAAAAACATAGTTTTGTTTTTGTTTTCAGTGTGTGTGTAACCATATCAATGATATCTCCTTAAAGGAAATTAATTTATTGTGTGTGATACACTGATATTTTCTATTATTTTTAATGCTTGTCTTAACCCAGTAATGACAGCGTCCCACACAGATGGACAGGCAGTGCTCAGAGTAGGCCTGCATATTTCTCAGGAATGAGGCCCCAGGCTGTCCTCATATTTCTAGGGGGTCACTCACCTAAACGCGCGCGCAGTCAGAGTGCTCCCCGAGGTGGTGTTACTGCCTCGGGTGAGCAGGCTGTCCTGTGCAAGGTGATGACACTAATAATCAGGATCAGAAGAGCATGTAAGAGTTTTGATTATGATTCATATCTCAATAATTATTTGTTTGGTGTGGGTGTAGAGTTGACAGGATTTATTTTAACCATTGAACACATAACTCGCAGTGTTGACTACTCATGTCAAATAACATGCTGTTGTCAATAGATGGACTTATATCCCAGGGATTCGGTTTTTAAGGTCATCAGTAGGAAAATACTAATGTGCGGTATCACTACTTTCATTTGCTGTTTTCTCAGCTGGGCATCATAGAAAGAGCCACTTAGCTGTGGTACACGAAAGCTGTGTGTGTGTGTAAACTCTAGAACCCCACTCAGCACCTCCGCATGATCTCACTGTAGTGGGGGCTCTTGGGAACTGGGACTGGTCCCTCCTCAGTCTACACCAGGACATTCCTTTACTGAACTAAAGAAGTAATTGAAGGAATTGACTACACCCTTTACATTATTTTTTCCCTTTTTTGCAATGCACATACATTAATATGTATAAGGTTCATATTTACATGACAGAGTTTCTATAGACAGGAACAATTTGCCACTAGAAAAACTTGTTTGTAATTGACCCTTTCTTAGTTGCCTGAGGATTTGGACAAATTTATTCAAATCTATGTATTTTAGCATCAAGCAAACATAAAAATACAGCTTTTTGGAAAAGATAAATTGAAAAGGCTATTCTGTGCATAACAAGAGGATTTGCCATAGTATTTTATTGATTATTTTATGTGGTATGTTGCTGATCACAGCATTTAGTTGTATATATGTACACTTTCAGGAGCGCATTTTATTTTGCTGTCTTCCCGTCCCACCTTATATTAATGTTCTTTATTCCCTTTTAATAACTTATATACCAAACTTAATTTCATCCTGCCTAAAATACCTTAAAGTTGTGCTTTTTAAAACTTGGAAGGGGTATGATCTATAGTAAACAGCATGTTGGGAATTGAAGTCCCTGGTTCAGGTTTCATTATTTTCTTTTAAGTCTTACATTTTTTGGAAACATTTTGTATGATTAGCTTCTTTTTATTATTTGTCCAAAAGCAAGCCTATTTTGCTTAATTGTAATCATGTTCACTTTTTTTACCCTGTATTGTATAGTTTTCCATATTTTCCAGTTTTGATTTTTGAAATGCACACTATTTCCATTTTACATTCTACAGTTTGCCAACTATTCCTGCCATTGGACATTGAGGTCACTTTCAAACTACTGTAGCTTTTGTTAATAGTTAAAGATCTGGCATACCTTATACAAAAGTATCTATAGCCACTAAAACAATTGGTACCAGTTTTTAAATTGTAATGAATTTTAGAGTCTCAGTAGTAGAAACAGCTCCATAATTGACATTGTCATCCAGGTTTTTTATTAAAAGCACCTTATATTGGTGATACTGCATGCTAAGACAGATTTTGTATCCATGATGACTAGGTACTTGACTGCTAGCACTAACTTTCACACCACATGCTGTAAGGGATATACATGTCCTTTCCTGAACGGCATGTCTCTCGCTGATGCAGATGGCTTGAGCAAAATCAGACTGAACTACAGTGACGAGTCAGCCGAAGGCAGTAAAATGCTTGACGATGAGCTCATCGACTTCTCAGAGGATCAAGATAACCAGGTAAAACCTAATGCTTGGCAAAAAGATCTGATCGTTTATCTAATGAAGAGTTTTTCTTGTGAGTCCTATAGGTGACTCCTTTCAACCAGTAGCTCATGCCTTCTAGATAGGGGTCTCATCTCAAAGTGCAAATTCAGTTTTCAACTCAGAAGTTGCCAGGATAAATGCGTTAGTGTTGTTTTGGGGTGTCTAGTTTGGTTTGGGCTACTGTGGGCTAAACTGATATTACCTCGGAAAATTTTAATATAGAACTAATTGTCCTACCCCAGCATAGCCACCACCCCCAGCACCCCTTTCTCAGCTCCTTTAAAGCATTTATGGGCCATACTTTGGTCTAACTTAACCTTCAAGAGGCAGATGTTTAAATTTTTTATTATGTGGTGCATGACTGAGCAAAACTATATATATTTTTCACTTTTCCAGTGGTTCTTTCTCTTTTGCCCAGTTTAAGGTACATGTATCATGGCAGGAGCTGTGAAATAAGAGAGTTTTTTTCCCAACATGCACAGACGCAATGCACAGATTGTGGTCAAAGTCTTCAGTGAGCACTTACTTGCCTGTCCTTGATCAGAGCAGTTGTGCGGACCAGTTCATCTAACAATGTGTAGTATTATTAGCCTTAATTATCATTATTTCTACTATGGATTATTTCATTTCTAAGGTTGCCACAGCTTTCTCAGGGAATAAAAAACAACCCTTTGTTTTACATTCAGGATAGTAGGTAAGACGCAGTATCATTAACCTGTCGTCTCTCAAGTGAAGTGGATATATGGTTTTGTCAAGGAAAACTGTTTCCAAAATCCCTTTAAATATTTTATGTGAAAAAATTATTTACATAAAAGAGTAATAACTGTAAGTCATTCATGTCCTATTATGAAGCAGCTATCTTAGGCAGTAAACTGTATTTCTATAAAAATACCTAAAAAAGCAGTAATATTTGACTGTAGAAGAATCAGTGACAGTATATTCAGTATTTAAAAGTTTATTCGAGGTTGAGTAGATGTACCAATTTTTCGTATACTTCTTACCAGCAGTTTCTTTTCATTAAAATGTCAGTGTGTGGCATAGATAATAGGAATCAAGCGACATACCACGTTTTCTAACGTCTGACCACCTCAGTAGTGCAGCTCTGTGAGGTGGTCAGTCATTCACACTGTTTTCAGCACTGACAGTAGACTCTTCATAGGATGACAGCAGCGATGATGGATTCCTTGCTGACGACAACTGCAATTCAGAAATAGGACAGTGGCATTTAAAGCCTACTATCTGTAAACAGTAAGCATTAACTGTATATCTTGCAAACTGTGTGGTAATTTTTATTTATGTACTCTCACAGGATAAAGCGTAATTGGGACAGTGTTTATTCAAACAAGTACTTAAGCAAAAGTCAGGGTGGGTAAGGAAAATTGAGTCATGCCCGCTGTCCAGGGACCAGACTGGGGAGATCAGACAGTCATTTTGGTCCATGTATGTGCATGTGTGCATACATACATCTCCACAGAGAAACACTTCCTTTTGGATATATGGTGATTTGGAGCAGAAAAGGACAAAAAGTTATCATTTGCCTTCCAATCCATAACAAGGGAATCAGAGCTTATACTGGGTCCGCAGCTCCTGCGTGGGGCTGGGGAGTGACCCGAGGCAGCCCTGACAGGGCATGATGAGGTGGGAACCCCCAGTGAGGGGGTCTGTTTTCTTGGTTCTCAGAATTACATGTTCTGACACCTTTCCAGGATCTCCAAACTTCTTACATGATGAAGTGTTACCTATTTCTAGACTTCATCTCTTTGAACTTTTTTGGTAGAAAATGTTGGGTGAAATTCCATTAACAGCTTTTGAGAAGCAAACTTCATTTATAAAGGAAATCAGTTAAGAGATCTCTAAATTGCATAAAATTGTAGGCAGGAAGAAGCTAGATCTTTAAACATTCCAAGACCCTTTGCACTGTATTAGATTTCCTCACTTACATGGGTTTACAACAAAATTTTGAAGGTTGAATATTATTTATATTGAGTTTTCTAAAGTAGTCTTGCAAAACACACTGTATTCTAACCTAACTCGTTATGTTATGATTACCTGTTTTGTTACCTGTAATGGGTTTTAGTTAAAACTAGGGTTATTTTTCTTTTACTTCTCCATGGTCCCAATTTTGGTTATTTGGAATATGGTGATGTTCAAATTTTTGTAGTTGTTTTGACTTTCTCCTAAATTTTAAAGTGTTTTTAGGAACCAGCTATAGAACTTTAGTAAAATGTAAATTAATATTTTATAATTTAGTGTTTAACATAACCTTAGATTTTTAAGTATTGGGGGGGGGGTGTCTGTGAGGTTTATTTACTCTTTCCCCTGAGTTTCACTGAGGCATACAAAGGGAATTTTGAAGGCTTTAAATTTTTTGTTAATGTACATCTTTTTATGCCTTTTAACACTATGAAGCACTAATATTTGGACATTTGTACCCTGCAGACCTTGTATTCTACTGATGGACTCACTCAGAGGCCCTTCTCGGTCAAATGTTGTAAAAATTCTCAGAGAGTAAGTTCAAAACCATACCCCATACTTCATATCTGCTGGGAACGAGCGGCTCGGTCGGCTTTATGTGCGTGTATTCTTGCTAACATGCACTCTTACAGGTATTTAGAGGTGGAGTGGGACGTTAAAAAGGGAAGCAAACGGAGCTTTTCCAAAGATGCCATGAAAGGCTCGAACCCGAAGGTCCCCCAGCAAGACAACTTCAGCGACTGCGGCGTGTACGTCCTGCAGTACGTGGAGAGCTTTTTTGAGGTGGGTTTCAGAGTGTTGGATCGGATATAATAAATAACAAAGTAGTGTATTTGAATTGATGCTAGTGTAAAAAATACCGTAAGCAAGTATTTTAAAGAGTTTCGAAATTACCGTTTCAGAAATTATCCTAGGGAGCAAAAACTCCCAAAACAGAGAATTTTTAAGGCATAGAAAGACTGTGTTTGTGCTTCATCAGATCCAAGGCTTGTTGACCTCACTCCTCACCACTGATGGGGTCTCCCTGTCCGCTCGTCTTTTGACTTTAAGAAACCCCTCCCCTCATTTGGACTGCCTCCTTCCCCTCGTTTTTCCCCTTCACACATCCATTTATTTCTGGAGGTGTTTCTATTCGCTGTCCATTTCCACAGAGCCCACTTTCCCCTCAGATCTCTGTAGACTGGCTTCACGCTCGCCCTTACACTGACACTGGGCTGTGCCCCCAGGGCCTCCTGACACCACTGGCCACCCCCCCGCGCTCTCTTCTCCGACTTGGGAGGCGCAGCACCACGCATCCCTGTCCTGGGTGCTCTTTACAGTTGTGCGACTCCGTCCTCTTCTTTGTCCACACCCCATGTGCCACCAAGCCCCGTCCGCTGTCTCCCATGTCCAGCCCTGTGGCCCCGGTCCAGGCCCAGTACACCACTGCCGGCGCCAAGCAGCACCCCCAGCCTGCAGCTGCGCCTGCTGCCTTCCGGTTTTCACAAACCCAGACCCGGTCATGTTGCTCTTCTGCTTTAAATCCTGCCGCCGTCGGGGGAAGACCGAGCTCCAGAGCGTGTCCTGCGCGATCCAGCCCCAGGCCTGTGCCCACCGTCGCGGCTCTGCGTTCTGTCCCCCGCGTGCCGCGCAGCCCCACGCTGTGCTGCCCCTCCTGCCCCAGGCCTGGAGACATTTCCTGGCCTGCAGCGCCTTCTCTGCCGCGCCTGCCATCCCGTGTTTGGCTGCCCCCTACTCGGTCAGGTCTGAGTGCAAACAGCCTCCTAGGGACAGTGTGAAGCCCCCAGACACGTGCTCTTGAAGGACGCCATGCTTCCCCTCATGAAAAAAGTATCAGATTGTTTTAGTCGTTACCTGTTTATCTAGACTCGGATCAGCAAACTTTTTTTTTTTTTTTTGGACAAAGCTTTTTATAAAGGGCCAGGTAGTAAATATTTCACTCGGCAGCCGTATGGTCTCTGGCCCTCCTCAGTTCCACTATTGTGGCACGTAAGCCTCCACAGACGCCACGTGAATGAGTCGGTGTGGCGGGCTTCCAGTAGGGTCTCATTTACAAAAGCAGGTAGTAGGCGCACCTGGCCCAGGTCAGCCGAGGTTCACTTGCCCCTGGTCTAGGCGGTAAGGTCCGTGGGCAGAAACTGCCCCACACCTCCCGTGTCCAGCACGATGCCCTGGCTTGTGATAGATAATGAGTAAAATACTAAATCACATTTTGATTTTTCACTTTTAACTCTGGAATGCTTTTATGATTGAAACTTACTGTAATTTTCTAATCTGCATTTGATGTTTTTCTCTACAGAATCCAATTCTCAATTTTGAACTACCTATGAATTTGGCAAACTGGTTTCCTCCCTCAAGAATGAGAACAAAAAGAGAAGAAATCAGAAACATAATTCTAAAGCTGCAGGAGGATCAGAGCCGAGAGAAGCAGCAGCGTAAGGACCCGCACTCGGCATCTCCGACTGACCCGCTTCCGGGGCTCGTCAGTTTCCTCCAGAAGCTGCGAACTCCAGCGTGGGCTGTAGATAGTGAAGAACGGTAGCGCTCACTACTCAGTGATCTGGAAATGTTAATGCTTGTATAAATGTCATGTAATTAATTTCCAATGGAGTATGTATTAAATAAAAGTCTGTAAATATGTTAATGAGGCCAATTTTTCCAGCATTTATAATTATTTTTTTCACTTGTTAGGAAGCTTTTGTTATGTATTTTCTGTTAATAGTACTTTAAAACTGCAACTTCTAAACACAAAATAAAAAGAAAATATTTATAGGAAGAAATGATTAATTTGATATTCTTCAGTGAACTTGTATTAAATTCCTCAGTGGGTGTGATATATTTCATGGGGATATTTGAGTATCTATGATAAGCTTTTGACCTCTTGCGTTTATTCTAAAATAACTCAAAATAGGAAAGTAAGATTAAATCTAAGGCATTTTGAACAAGAAAGACATCATATGCTTGTATAGCTGGAAAAAAATGACAGATTTTTAATTCATAAACTCCTTTGTGTTCAGAGACCCCAAAAAGGTAAAAAAATATTTATAATTCTGCACAAATATTTAAGAAGTACTATTCAGAGCAATTCAAAGAAAACTAACCTTGAATTATCCTACTAAGTGATAACTATACTTTTATCACATGTCAAGGATGTTTCTGAAGATGTCAAAGACTCAGGTTAAAACTGTTTTGGTAGGTGCGGTTTGAATTTCAAATATCCCACATTATCTTTCTGTATCATAGCTTGAAGTATGCTACAATCTGTGTGATAGAGTCCGCTGATAAACATTTTTAATCTGTGAACACAGGAATTGAAATAGGAATTTACTATTTTTTATAATGGCTTTTGCTATTTTTTCATTGCTCATTTGTTCTTGTTATTTTGATAAACAGACTTTTGGGGCTTGAGTTTTTTAGTGTAAATTATTTTTACGTGTGAAAGTACTGTATTGCACAATGCATAAAAAAATCTACCTTTTGAACTCCCCTTTAAGATTACTAAAACATGATGGTTTTGATGACGGATGTAGAACTGCATAGGGATCTTGCTTATGTCTGCTGAAACTATTCTCAAAGAAACTTTGAGACTTGAAATATATTTTTTGAAAGTCATTATTTTAAAAATTTCATTTAAATAATGAATTTTAAAATGCACTTGTAACAAGTGAAGAATAAAAGGAAGGTCATTTTTATCAGCAGCAATTATTTTATATTTTTAGTCTGGCATTGCATACAACATTTTAGGGTATTTTCTTGAGTTTAATATAAAGTCTATGTGGGAATATGGGATGGATGGGGTGTTGTTAACAGCAACCAAAAAAAGTCTATTGAGACACACTCATCAAGGGAAACAATGAAGTGTGAACTTAAGGAAGGTCACCCGAAGTGGTATCAATTATAGATTTGTTACTTCATTGAATTATTGTAACATTTCCTATTTTTGATAGAATTATTTCTTTTTTAAGGGAATACTCTAGGTCTGTTAGCTCAGATATGGAGAAATAAGAGCTTAGTTTTATTATTTATTGAGTATGGACCCAAAAAAATGGAAATTGTTTTTTAAGGGAAAACCCTGGTAACAGTGAGCAAAAGTGACATATTTGACTTTCTTTGTGCTGTGTTTTGTCAGAATTTGAAGGTACCAAAAAAACTATTCTAAAATGCTTGTTTGTTTTGTTTTAATTTCTGATGGTCATACTTTACACACTTAGTTTTTGGTAAGATAAAAAGATAACTTGTCCCTTGGGCTCACTAAAGTCAGCATGAAAAACAGATTTCTGTCAACTTCTAGAGAGAGAGTATCTAGGTGTTCGATCATATTTCTTTCGCGTCATGTAGAAGTCTGTTTGAAAGTGTGTGTGTGCATCTGTCTTTCGAGACCGCCCGTTGTCCTCCCAGACTGGAGAACCTTCGGTGCGTGTGCACGTGTGCTTGGTGATTGTGTGCTCTGCCACTTCTATGTGTAGTTCAAAGCGGATATCAACCTTTTCAACTGTGTTAAGAGTACTTAGAAGTTGTGAAACAGAATTTTAAAGTTAAGAGGTTTGTTACTAGACATTGAAACTGTATGGAGAGTATCTGGTGTCTTAACTAATTAGATAGATCTGCTGTATTTGTTTTCTTCTTGGATAGAATAACAGTTAATCATTTTTAGAAGAGTTTCAGATTACTTGCCATAAAATGTGTATGTGTCTGAGCTCTCGGCAGTCCAGGAGCAAGGGCGGCGTCTCGCTGTCCTCTCCCTTTGATGTCGCTCATGCAGCTGAGAGCTTAGTGGTATCATTTCAAGTTCACATAAACCTGAATCAGCTCAGCATAGTAGTTTGTGCTTAAACTACTAGTCAGTTAAACACAGGAGGTTTTATTTGAAGGGATCATATAACCTAAATTATATCTTGTTTTGAGTTAGCAAAATCAGTATTTTTTTAAGAAAACTATGATCCCTGAAGATGTGAGATATTAAGAGAGTAAGTTTTAATTTCCCAGAAATCAAAAGTTGTTTAAAGTCTCAGACAATTCACTGAACAGGAATAATAAAGACTTTTTTAGTATTTTTGATCAAGAGTTGGTGGAATAAAGCTCCAGGAATGTAACGATGGCTTAACTTGCTGAGAAGGAGCAGATCCTTCAAGAGGTGAGGTGGTGGGGTGCTGTGTGCCGAGAAGAGACGGATAACAAGGCTGCTCTGTGCTTGGCTTTGAGGCCAAAAGGAGAGGGAGAGGGGAACTGGGGCCCACCTCAGATTGTCTAGCTGAGTGAGTACACGGGGAGCTGTACCAGTAAGACAACAACTCACAAAAGGCGAAACCAGACTGTATCAGGAAATCTCTGAAACGGCCTAGCAGGCCTTTTGGTACATTTTGTCTTTTTCCTACTCCCAGGAAGAAGAAAAAGGGTGCTGAAAACTGCTCTTCAAAACTTAAGTTTAACCACAGAGGAAGAACTGGTTGATCAAGTGGAAGAAATGTGTGCCCTGGGGAAAGGTAGTCCCACCATCCTGACTCTAATGCCAGACCAGGGATAATGGTGCAGTGCCCCAAACCAGTGTAAGCGAACCAGAGTGCAGTGGCTTCTTTCCCTCTGAAAAATGCCACACACCCATGGCCTGAGACACAGAAAAAAGTTGAAAGCTTAGAAGTCTTTACTGTGTTGCAAACAACAGTTAAATTGTCCTTATTGCAAATGAATTGGGTAGATGAGCATATTATCGAAAACAAGGACTTTTATCTAAAATGTGCATCAAAATCACCTGGTGAGCTTTTCGAACTACATACAGCTAGGGCCTCACCCCCAGCGGTGCTGTGTATTTTCGGGTAATTTCGTAAGTAGTTCTGTATCCATCTGTAGTAAGCCACTGATTGAAAGGGATTGCTATTTGTCCCTGAAAGCTTTTAAGTTGCTGATGAAGAAGGTAATAAAGCTTGTCTACATTTTCTTCTCTCAAATGCTTTAGGATACCACTTAACCCCCATTCCCTCCAAATTCCTCTTAAGAGCTTGGTAGGTGACCTGGTTATTGAATCACTGTCAAGAAGAGAATAAATCATCACTCACAGGTCAGAGACTGGCAGCCATCCTGCTTCCGAAATGAAACGACATCTCGGTACAGTTCTGAAATGAATTCATTAAATGGGTGGTTTCTGAACTCTCCGTGGTCACCAGGAGTTGTGTGTCCACAACAGTGAAGGTTGATTCTTTTAATAGAATTCTGGCTTAGAATGCAGCCAGACTAGCAATACTCAAAGTGCGTTTGACAACCAGTTTTGAGGGATATTTATAGTATCTGTGGCCAAATGAGTTTGGAAAACATTTGAACCAAGTTAAACAGATTTGGGGGATTTTAGTGTGCTAAAAGGCAGAATGATTAAATGAGTGAAAATAGAGATACAGTATGCTAGACGTAGACTTTGGTGTATCCTCTCCTGACGCTGATTGTCTAAACTTCCTTAGAATACAGCCTGTCAGGAAGCAGAGCTAACTGATGGGGGTGTTTGTGAACTGAACTTTTAAGAGAAGATGCTTTTGAAACTTACCTGAGGTTGGTTTTTTTACATTTTATTTTACAAGAGTTGGCTATATGATTTGTAAATTTGAAAAGAAGTGACTCGTGTCTGGGGGAAATGAAGTTTCATGGGAAACATTTTTCTATATTGTAATGAAAATAATTCTTGGATGCAAGTGCATTCTCAGAAAAAAGACTTGATACTAATCTTTCATAAGGCCATCAAATCCCCTAAGCTCATATGAAAATAGAAATTGTATGAAAATATGAAAGTGAATTGTAAGATTATCTGGGGCTTTTCCTTCTGTTTATATCTGAATCCCTTAGCTGCTAGCTTACACCTCCCCCAACTTCCACTCCATCATCTTTTTCTTTAGAGTTAAAGTGCAGCAGACAACCTTCATACCTTGGGGCATTTTTTTTCTCCCAAAGAAATCTGTATAAAAAGTATTCTTAATGAACTTAACATACTTTTAATATTTTTAACCCCTCAAAAAATAAGTTGTTTAAACCTGGCATAAAACTTAAAATTATCATAATTAGTTTATACATGTTGACAGCAGAGAATTTTACCCAAACAAGTAAGGTGAAAAGAAACTGATCCTTAAATACAAAATGAATGTTTTGAGTACCTACGATGTCGTAGGTGTTGGGAATTTAAAATGGAGCCAAACAGATACCATTCTCTCGTCATGGGTCTTTTTGTACTGGAGAGACGTGTGGTACTCAACCTCACAAATTAATAATTTGCAATCAGTGCCATGCTGGGAAAGCTTTAGTAAGTGTAGTAAGACAGTTTAGCCTATTCTGGGGAGGTTGGGCAAGTCTTCCCTGAAGATGTGACATTTAAACTGTTGGTAGACATGCACCGAACAATGTCCGAGAGGGTAAGAATAGTGCCTGTAGGCTGCGCAGAGGTTCGAGTGACTTGTGATAGTGACAATGACCTCGTTTATTCAGCATACACTATATGCCAGACAGTTTTTAAGTGTTTTTAATGTATGAATACGTTTATTATTCACAGTGATTGTATGATATATTCACTGTTCCTACTTCCAGTTACAGATGAACAAACTGAAATCCAAAGAAAGAAATACTGGCCCCAGCAAGGCTGCGCTTTGAACACACCTTCTTACCCTAGAAGACAGGTTAACCTGGCTAGACAAGAGATGAAAATAAATAAGATGGGCATATTTTTGTGGAATGCAGTGTGGCCAGTTCTTGATTATTAGGGAAACTGGTATGGAGATTTGTCAAACTATGCTATCTTTTAGTAAGTTTGTTTTCGTAAGTTTTAAAATAACCTTAAGGAAGGCCTGTAAGTGGAGGCCCCGAAGCCCTGTTCAGGATCTTGGCCTTCCCCTAAAACATCGCTGAAACACTTCAAGCAAAGGGAAAACAGGACCGACCATGAAACGTTGAGAAGATCGTGACGGCGGTGGTGACAGCACTGCAGGGGGGCAAGAAGGGGAGCGAGGCTGCCCTCGGGTCGCTCAGTGCGAGGCCCTACAGCCGGGGCAAAGGGCACGGCCACGCCCACGTCCCGGGAACGCTGAAATAGCACAGCAGTTTGGGTGTTTCGTTCATGAAACGACCCTTTCAGAGGCAAGCATTGGAAACAGGAAGGTGTTCGTTCCCTTTGTCCCAGTCAGAGCGTGTTTTTTTTCTTTATGAACAAATGATTATCAAAGATACCTAAATATAAATGAAATATACAGCTGAAGAGCGGACAGAAGATGATTAACTGAAGACATTATGACAAAAAATTGACTTTGCAGACAAAATTACTTATGAAGCATGTGAAACTATCAAAAAGCTTGGAAGTTTCAAATATCAAAGTTATAGTTTTAAAATATAAACAATAAAAATAAAATTAGCATGAAACATCAGCATTCCATTGTCTTCACAAGAATAGCACTTTATGGCTGCGAAGTTACTACTACTAGTTGAGGTGTGTCCGGCAGTGCCAGTCGCACGCCCCTTGGGGAGCTGCCCAGGGTGCCCCTAACTGTTAACATCTGTCGCCCGCGCTCTCCCACCTGCCTCCGTGTCGGGTCGCAGGCGATTGGTCGTAGGATGGACACTTGACCTCAGGGAACATCAGTCTGTCGTGAGTGATATGACCTAGCAGACAAAACAAAGCCCATCAGATCTGGTCATTGGGAATTTAAACTGAAAATAAAAGAATTTGCACATTGGAAGTCGTAGAGCGAGTACAGTATATTAAAAATAACAGTCTAATAAGCAATTTTAGATGTCCATATTTCTGATAATGGATTCTTTTTTTAACAATTTAACCCCTTAAGGACACATCAAATAAGAAATTCATTCACATCGAAATCACCTGATAAGATACTGGCCGCTACCCGGTTCTGACTCGATGGTCTTCAGTTGGGCCAGCAAATGTGTATTTCTAACTAGTTCCCAGGCAAGACCACATTTTGAGAAATACTCTGATGTATTCATTCTTCGCGGCTCTTCCAGCCGCGGGTGTGAAAACCTCTCGGTGCAGATAAGGCCGAGAAAGCACGAAGTATCGGAGCGTCTTGGATCCAGTGAAATACTAAATGAAATTGTTTGATCAGATATACTCAGTAATACTTTATTTATAATACAGTTAAACGTAAGAGACATGTGATCACACCATACCGCTTTGCTTTTTTTAAAAATATAGTCTGGATTTATTTTTCCTTTATCACCTATTTTTCAACTTTGTACTCTTTCATAGTTTTCCCCAGGTTCATACAATCTCTCTATAGTAATATATGTATAAAGAGGTATTGATTGCTTTTATTATAAAAACTGGGATAATAATATAAACGTTTTTCAGCATCTTTTGTCCCTCAGCAAGAGCCTGTGAACATCAGTGTGTTATCTGGTATAATGAAAGTCAGTCAGTAATACAATAACGATATGATAAGCAATAACTTATTTAGCCATTCTCCTACTCTGTCAGTCTTGTGTACAGTAACAATTTGAAAATCTCCATGGCTCACTCTCCCAAAAAAGTTGTCTTTAGCCATGCTGCATGCATGTCCAAACAGCTCTGCCCCCAAGCTCCTGGCTGCCCCCAAGCTCCTGGCTGCCCAGATGGGCGCTCTATGCCGACACAGGCATCCATGTCCAGGGCAGAGCAGGAAGGGGGCCTGGGGGAGGCTCTGGGCACCCCAAGCCTCCCCCCAGGGCTGGCGCATCCCATCCCTGCACCGCATGGCCTGCCCCGATTAGGTGACGTTGGTTTCACACGGAACAATGTCAGGCGCTCTTAGCATATTGCAGACAGGAATGTTTTTTCAGCAGCGTTAAGTGGCTGCCACACTGTTCATGGGCATTCACTTTTGTCCAGGTTTTTGCAACCATGAGCATGTATATTTCCCTATTTTATTTCTTTATAGGCTGGCCGTTTTCTCTTTTTGGAATAGATTCCCAGGGATTACTGGATCAAAGAGCATGTGTTGTTAATTTTTATACATGTTACAAGCTCGTTTTCCAAAAGGATGTAAGAATTTACATTTCCTCCATCAATTTATTTCAAATATAATTTTCCTGGCTCCCCACCAGCAATAGGCATTTTGCAAGCCTTGTGCATATCTTGCTGTTTTCACTATTACCTGTTTTGCATTTCCCTGAATTCTAAGTTTCAATCTGAGCATGTTTTTGTGGATGCTCTGCTGATCAGAAGCCCATTTTCCCATTGGACTAGCCATTGTCTCTTTTTTCTATTTGAGTCTTCTGCATACTACATTGTCATCTGTAAGTGTATCTTTTCATAATCTACTATTTATTTGCCTTAGACTTTGTGTATAGTGTATTTCCCATAGTTCAAATTTTATTTTTATGTATTTTCTGTATTTTCAGTCTTGGTTAAAAAGTTCCTTCTTAATTCATGATAGTGCATATAGTCGTGTTTCCTGCAAGATTTTTTAAAAAACTTAATGAAACCATATGACATTTACTTCTGTGCACAGCAAAAGATACGGGTGTTATAGTCTTAAGAATTTTATATCTTTTCTCCTGAAGAAATCTGTATAGAAAGTATTCTTTCTATACATCACTTATTTAACTCCTTTTTGGCATTAAAATCAATTCCCATGTTTGTCATATATTAAATTATTATATTCCTATTATTTATTTCTGAAGTTATAATATATTTCTTTAACTGGTCTCTCATTACTTCATTATACGTGGCAACTGTAAGATTGTGAAAGCTGTACCCAAAGTTTATAGATTTAAGCCCCCAAATAAAAAATAGCCTCAAATTAAAAAATTAAGAACAGAATAATAAAATAAAAATTTTTCAAAAAACTAGGAAGAGGAAGTTAAAGGAAATACAAGCTAATGAACTAGAACTTCACCACACTCTCGCACCCTGTCACATAAAGCCTCACAAAACTGTTTCGAAAAACATAAATTAGAAAGACTCTTGAGTCTGATCAAGGAAAAAAGAAAAAATGGGAGAAAGAAAGGGGAAAGGAGACATATCACAGTTACAGAAAGGCTTTAAAAAGAGTCTTTTTAACATGAAAACCCAGTACCACAAACCGGAAAGCTTGAAGGATGTAGGTGACTGCTTGGAAAATAACCAATTCAAGCAGCAGACAACGATCACACCGTGTGTGCTCAGATACCGGCCAGGTGTCACAGAGTCACCCCTGCAAGTACACAAAGACCGTATCAGTTCTTGGATGTGAACTTTTGAACAGTTAAATCTGAGGTTAAACTATTCCAGGCCATAAAAATGAGTGAAAAAACCTCAATTCATTTATGAGGCCAGCATAACTTCAATAAAAAAGTCTAGTAAAGGTGATGTCAGATAAAAAACTAAGGATTATGTAATTTATGATTCAAGATTGACAAGACAAAGTATTGCTAATAGGAATCTAGTAATAGCAAATAAATGATGCCCTATAACCGAAGTCAAGGATGTTCAATATCAGAAAATAGATTAGCTTAATTGTTACGTCAAAGGTATTGAAGGAGATTTATATGATCATATAAAAAATTCAGTTATTCATAGCACAATCTTTAAATGAGAAGGGAGGAATCTGTTAAAATACAGGCTATAACTTCTTACTAAATAATATACTAAATGCTATGTGATGGAGAAAGAATTTGAGTTGAGAAAGTCAATGGGGAAAAGAATGGAAAGTAATTGTAGGTAGGAGACATGCCTTCTGTTGAATAGTTTAGCGGTAAAGGAAGTAAAGTGCGCTCGACTGGGCAACAGGTGTATACAGAGAATGTCCTCAGATTATGATCTGCATGCATGTGGCAAGCGGAAAAGCGCTACAGGCGGGGAGAGGCCGGTGTAAGGGCGCTTTCCCAGAAAGTTGTTTGTTGGGATAAATGTTTACCTGAATCAACATTCTATAATTTTTTAAATGGAGCACTGTATTTCATTGTGGGATTTAGAAGGTGAATAAAATTTATTGTTCAAAACATATACATATAAATATGTATGTATTAAATGCTGAAATACTTAAAATCAGTTAAACGAATATCAAGAGGCTCTCGCACTATTCACCGTTGTTCTTGGCGCTTAAGCTTTCTTGTACTAAGACAAGAAAATGAGATCGGACCTGCAGGAATGGAACATAAACAACATGTTCTTGGATGGGAAGGCATAATACTGCGAAAACACGGATTCCTTCATAATGTTACATAACTATAATTCAATTTTATAATACCATAGGGTGATGGTTTTAGATTTTAAATTTTCCATGTTTATACAAAAAGCAGAATGCCTCTGAGGAGCCAGGCTAAGCAGTATCAGAATGGGTGACAAAGTTACTGTAAACAAAAAATATGGGACCCGGGGAGGAAGGTAAATAAAACGAGGTATGTTCCAGGACAAGGACTGAGGCGGAGGAGACGACACGCAGTGGGGACACCAGCAGCCCTCGGAGGGAGAAAAGACCAGCAAACACGATGGAAGCCAGTGAGCCTCCTGTTCAGCATCGCGTCACCTGCTGCTCATTTAGGTCGTGGGCTTTGGAATAAATTGCTGCTTGTTACCACCAGTATTTGAGGTACTAATTAACGTATTATAATAACAGTCCTTGAGTTGTTTTTGTTCTTAAATCATTGTAGACTTGGCTATAAATAGGCTAACTACAGGACTCCTGGGGAGAAACTATTCTCCAGACCGATTTCTTCAAGTTACCAAGCAACCCCCAAAAGCCCGGAGTAAGCCTCGGTTCCTGGACTGCCAGATCCCGTTCCGCCTGGGCAGGGCGGCGGCTGCCAGACCTCCTTTCTCCGTCACGCTCTCTGACAGTGACATCACTGATAAATGTATTTTAGGTTTTCTCCCGCATAGAATCCAGTTCTCTGTATAGAGTACAGCCCCCCTCCCTCTTCTCCCCTCCCAGCACGCGTGACTTTCTCTCTGTCACACACGCAGGCACACAACAGAAAAGTTTCAGAAATTCTTAACACTTACTAAAAAGATGCATTAATTTGCTTTATTCTTTTTAAAGAATGCTTTCTAAAATCCACTACATTGATAGTATCATCCACAGTTTGAATAATACTAAGGCTTCAATCTTACATGTTTCAAAAGACTTAAATACGCAAGAATAAAATTTTATCTAATGACAACTTGGACATGTCGATATACTTTTTTGCATAAATTATGAAAACTTTCTTTTTTAATTCTCAATTCTGGGTTAAAAAGTATCACTGATTTGAAGGTAAGAATGAAGTTTGGAATTCTTGGAGTTATATATTGAGAGAGATGGTTTCCTAATTCTGTTTATTATAATTATTATTGGCATGATCAAATTGGCATAATCAATGAATTTCTCTGTGAATATTTGTTTTAAAATATCCAAAAGTAAAATTTTTTATTTTGGTTGTATCCAGAGATTACCTTGGACATTTTTATGAATTTGCTTGAATTAACTTAGCCTGGATATCTTCACATTATTAATCAATATTCAAGTATAATATTTATTTTCTCTCAGGATCATATATTATTTTGCTCTAAAGACAAAAGATTTCTCACAGCAATAAAAAAAAAGACTCCTTTTCAAGAATCATGCCATTTACTTTAATGACTCCTATAAGAGAAAGTAATTAAAAATACAGAAAACTAAAAAGATACTGAAAATGTCTCAACCGGTTAGAGCATCTTTTTTTAAATATAAGCTTCTATTTGAAGTATAACACCCTTACAGAAGGAATACAGAGATCCTGAATGTATAGCCCAATGAATCATCGCCAAGAGAAATCCGTGGAACCAAATTCCCAGCGTCTAAGAAGCCCCCCACGTGCCTCTTCTTAATCTACTGACCCTTTTCAATAAACCCTTTCGAGTAACGTGTGATAGACGAGGTTGTTTGGATCATCAGAGTTCAGTTCAGCGAGCACTCCCGGGCTGCACATCCCGCGCAGGGCCGTGCCATCCTCGGACACGTGGCCTCCGGGCAGACGTGGCACTGTGCCCGTCCTGAGCCCGGGCGTTTGGGAGCCCGGCATGTTTCAGGTCTCTGGCACAGGAGAGCACACCCCAGGTAGCCACGGGCCTTCACCTCCTCGACCGAGACCTGCAGAACAGCCCTGGATTTACCTGCAGCCCGAATTAGACCCCCGCGGACCTATATGCTTGCGAGGGAGAAAAATGAATACTTCTTGTGATATGACACTGAGTTAGTGGCTCCACAGCAGAGGCTGACTAATGGAACAATCATTTGCTGAATCTCAGTGAAGTCTAACTGAGTGAACTCAGTTTATTGTTCTGTGACTGCATTTAAAGCTTTGTTCACTTCAACTTTACATTTACTATTAACTAGGATGATATTTAACTCCGACACACATTTACTAGACACTTCCTGGTCGGTGACTACGGGGTACTTCCTTGATCTATTTCCAGATAATCCTATTTTTAAGGCCAGGAAACCAGCCACTACCAATCTTGTCCTTTATTTAACATTTTTCAGAAGAATATTGTCTGTCACTGATTTGTTTAAATAGTACTCCCCACACCAAATCTTTTCCTGTTTTTTAATATTATATACATAGTAATTTTTGTATTATATAGCATCATCTTTAGCTGTTTCATTCATTACCATTAAAGAACTTTTTTTCATTTTTATTTTTTTGTAGATAGCCACATCACAAGATGTGTAACACATATGACACTGAAGGAAAAGTGAAGATTCATTTTTTAGAAAAATGAAATAAAATGTATATATAAATTATAAGTATTGAATCACCTGTGGAACAGTGATTTAAATTTAAATTCCACATTACCACGGAGAATTGGGGAAAGCCCCTTCTCTTCTACAACAAAGTTCTAAATGTTCTAAAAATATTCATTTCTGAAGGCCCCCCACTGGGAGTGTGGACCTGCCAGAGCCCAGGTTCAGTCAGATGAGCCCCACTCCACCAGCGATTACCGAGCGCATGTCTTTACATCCCAGCTCCGGACGGGCAAAGACAGGCAAGAGCTCAGTGAGCTCACAGGCATGGGAATAAAGCACTCGGCCTATTAGGAAGTGCGCCAACGTGGAGAGCTGTACAGGCTATTTTAGTGTGCATTATATCCAGTCTGTGGGCTGAATATTTTTATGATATTAATATCTAAATAGATTCAGCCAGTCACTGAAAATGATTAATATTTTAAAAAACTATTAAAAAATTAAAGTTAAAGTATCATTGATAGATAATCTTATGATGGTTCCAAATACACAACACAGTGGTTCAACATTCACCCATATTACCAAGTCCTCACGGCCTCCATTGAGGTCACTGTCCATCGAAGTAGTAAGATGGATTGGCTTTAATTTATAATCAATTTGGGATTAATTTATAAAATCTAATTTTGCAGATTTTTAAACACCATTAATTTTTCAGTGTAGTTTCTGGACTATATAGGCTGTGCAGAACTGACCATTCAGAATTATGTTGCTGAATTCTTTATGCAGATTATCTATGTATCACAAATACATGCTTATGGTTTCCTCTCTTGACATTTAATTCCAGCTTGTTTTTCTATTTTCTCAAAGCATATTTAAGTTATACATCTGATTTTTTAAATTAAATACTATCCATAAATTCAACTGTAATCATGTATTCATAATCTGCAACAAAAATAGATTTTCAGTTACTCTTCTCGTATTTCTGGAAGTAGGATAGCTACAGCAAGACTTCTCTAGACCATGAAAAATTATTAGAAGTTATATGTTTTATATAAATTTCTATGAATTTTTTAACACTTGGATTTCATCCAAACTGCACATAAGAAGAAATTCTATCACCGACTTCTCATGTTAATCTTTATGTTTAAAACAAATGGCTAATTTCAAAAAGTGATAGAATTGATTTTATTTTTTAAGATTTACCTTTTCTTCCTCAAATATATTTATAAGCCTTGCCAGCATGTAACAAGTTCAGGATTACATGTGGGATGTATTTTTAAATTTATTATTTACATAATATATATATACATGAGATTGATCAGATGCTGTTTGTAATCCTTTTTAGTTTACAAAATGTTTTCATTTTTACATAATCCTATGTAGTTCTTTCCCTGAAAGGAGGTGTTATTACAATTGCTATTTTATTAATGAGTATTGAGGCTCAGTAAGATTAAGTAATTCATCCAGGTCACAGATCCAGAGATCAGACTGGAAACCTGTTCCTCCTCATGTTATTCACGTTGTGTTAAATAAGTTTGAATACAATTCTGCACCTCCAGAAAGGCCTGCTCTCACTTGCTTTCTTTTAATTTCTACAATTCATGTAGGTTACATTGGACCCATTTAACTCTGAAAAAAATAGACTCTTCTGTCCTTCAAATCACGGCACTTGAGATGGAGATCACAGGGTATCATCAATTAGATGAAGGATTATTTTTAAGATGCTTGACAGTTCAATTAAAGTGAGGTGACCATCTTCGGTTACTCTCTTGATATTGTTTCAGTTTTAATTATAATGCCACTAGAACAATTCAGGAAAAACTAGCTGGGAGTTTCAATAACAGGGACAATACTTACAGAAATTTTCAGGAGCTATACATGGTAAGAGGTATGTGGTGATCTGGTTAAGTTTTTTTTTTTAAGTATCTTCTGATAAATGACATTTCAGCTTCAATTTTAGTCTTTTATATGGAAAATATTTCTAAAATAGATTAGCTTACTTTCTAGAGTAAACTCAGGAATGATTTTTCAAAATTATGTTTAAAATATCTTTCAATCTTTTTAAATACATGATTTATGATTTTACAGTGATTGAACATTAGTTTTGGGTGTTTTTTTTTTTTTCAGTGCAGATAGTGGTGGCACATGAGGCTGGGCAAAGAACACACCCTAAGGAAAGAAACTGAACTCAGACTCTCTCTTTCAGGACTTGCTTATTCCTGCAATTTATTTCCCTAAAAATTCCAGATAAGTCCCATTGGTGCAAACTTGCTAATAACTGAGGCAGTGATCAAACTTCTTGTAGAAGGTATAATGTTGTAAATATCTCGCTTATTTGTTAAATAAACACTTGAACACCTAACTCATTCCTCTTTGGTAAGATGGGGATAATGGTAGAACGTTTCTGTTCATTTGGGATTCTTGGTTAAAAGCAACAGAAACTAACTGGCTGACTTATCCAGCAAAAGAGCATATTGGAAAAGAGTGTAGCTCAGGCATGATGGGGGGTGATGAGGTACCAGGTGTGTAAAATAGGGCCATCAGTTAGGATGTCCCCACTGGCACTGTCACGATCAGACCCTGGTTGCCACACTTATCCACACCGCAGGGGATCCTCTTTATCTCTGCCTCTGCATCACTTTGTCCAGATTTCAAGTTTCAGGGGACAGCATCCAATTGACGTAACCCAGGTCCCATGCCATGACTTCCTGGTTGCTAGGTAGTGGAGAGTACTTAGAGCAAAGTCTCTAAAGTGCCAAGTGGGCCCTGCTCCCACCAAGCCTCGAAGTTTAGGATTCTCCACAAATAGGATGGAATTTCAGAAGCTTGGCAGGCAAAAGGCAAATGCTCACTGTATTACCTCATAGGGCTGTGAAAATTTAATGGGACGATCTATGTGACCGGCTTAGCACAGTGCTGGCACATGGTGAGCATTCGATACGTTTCAGCATTGTTATTATTAATTCAACGAGGCAGGCAAGGTACTAAATAAAAAAAATAGAGCAGAATTTCTAATTAAAAAGCTCGGTATTTTGGATAGTTATTACAGGGGGAAACAAATATAGAAACATATCATTTAATACTACAGTATTGGAAAATAGGGAAAAGAAAAACAAATTCTGTTAGAATCAGGACAGAGAAAGTAACAGACTGAGTTTTGAGGCTGACAGGAGCAGCATGCATGGGCTTCGGCGTGTTTGAATCCTGACTCGGGCGGGTTCAGGACTGTGAAGGATTCTGTACACCAGAGCCAGGAGTTTTAGTTGATCTGAAGGTCACCAGGATTTGGCCAAGGGGGTGACACAGTCAGATTTGTGGGGAGTGGGGAGAGAATGAGCTAGAAGGAGCGGACGGAATGTCAAGAGCTCAGACAGAAGCTGATGGCCGGTACCGGGGGCGGGGGGAGGAGCACAGCAGCTCAGGGGCGGTTCTGACCCGAATCAGTGACTCCACGACTGGGGGTGAGCAAAGGAAGACATTCTGGGTGACTGAAAACCTGTAACTTTTTGAGACCTGTGGCTAGTAATACCGTAACTATAATGGGGTCTGCGGGCAAGGAGATCATCTGAGTCAGCCAAGAGGGGAAACAGAGAAGGGGTTTCTGTGGGTCGTGCAACACAGATGGGCTGCAGCTGTCAGCGATGCAGCCGGGCGGGGTGTAGGACCTTTAAACAGCTCACACGGATTCCTATGAAAATGAAGCGACAAAAACCTCAAAATTTTTCTGATGGTTTCAGAGGGGGTTCTTGGGACCCCCATCTATGATAGGGGATCCATAAATCTCAGTTTAGGGACCCTTGGCACAAGGAGACTCGGAGAAGAGTCTCAGGTGAGAGCAGACTTGAAAAACTTAGAAAACAAAAAAACACTTCATAAGAATGAATATGGAATAAATTGTTAAGATGAGTTTCGGCAGCAAATACGAGTTATATCCACCATGTTTAACTGTACAGCATATGCAGTTTCCTAGAGCTGTCAGCTCCTCGCTTTTTGTCCGTCCGTCTGTCCTGTGTATCCAGCAGTAATGGTAGGCACCGTTCGGTGCCTGCCTGCCGTGTGGAAGCCACCATGCTTGGCACTGTGCGTGCACACAAGGGGCGTGCAGTCCAGCTGGTATTTATAGGTAAACAAAAGTAGCAGTAGTGAAATACATGTGGGAGAGATACATACACGCAAGGGTGCCGGAAGGTGGAAAAGCACCCGAATGCACGCAGGTTTTGGGGTAAGGGTGTTAGGGAAAACTTGCGGAGGACAAATAGGCTTTGTTTTGAAGGATTAAACTGAATTTAGCGTGGCAACTCTCCAAAGTAAACAGCATAGCTGTCTGCTCTGGACACGCAAGCTCGTTAGAGCGGCTTCAATGTAAAGAACACGAAATGCGGAAGGGCAGTGAGTGGAAATGAAATCGTACTGCCGAGCTAGGACAGTGGGCCAGCAAGGACGCGACTCCAGAGACAGGCAGGTCTGTGTGAAGGTGCCTGGTTTAGGGCCACTTTACGGGGTTTGGGACAGCGATGAACTGGGGAACATCGAAAGGCATTCAAATTCAATTACAAAAACAAAACAAAACAAAAGAGAAGGCCACTGTGCTAGCCAAACACCTTACATTCTATAAAATACAAACCTGGTGGCACTGCAGAGACTGGATTAGAAGGGGCCAAGGTTGCAGCCTGGGAACTGGTCAGCTCGAAGCCGTCTGCGGGCCCCGAGGGGTTGGCGGCCTGCAGCCCGGTACCCGCCGGGAGACCTTGGAGATGCGGGGCTGGACGCCGGGGGACGGACCCCGCGGACTGGGGGCGGGACAGAGGGGCCGGAGACAAAGCCTGCAGTCATTGCAGTGAACTGGGTCAGCTTCTACTGGTTTGCCGGAGCCTTTTAATCTTAAACCCCAAATAGGTCGGAGCTGAGAACTGAAAACATTCTCTTCGTTCTTTCTTTCCAATTCGTTTTGAAATCTAGGTCTGTTTGCCTGAGCGGTACCTCCTGGCACTCTGGAATTAGGTTTCTGAGATTGCTGTAGATTATTTCCTTTCTTGGTTTCTCTTCCTCTTTCTTACTTCCCTATTTTACTCTTAATATTTTGCTTGTGTTGTGTACTGAAGTATCTCATCATAACTTAGCTTTTCCACCAAGAGCCTGTGGCAGATCTGGGTATCTGAAACTTGTCTCCATCAGATGCTGTACATTTCCTGAACCTGCCTAGTTGCTGCTGGGAAATGTGTTAGGAAGTGCAATTCTCCTGTGTCGGTGCTCTAGCTTATTTCCTTGGAGACCTCCAGCATTACAGCGAACTAGCATTTCACTCTTAAACGCAGCTTTTCGTCGTTAGGCTAAGGTATTTTTTTCGGCCCTAATTCAGTCTTGCACGGCGCCTCCACACAGAGCTCCCGGGTCCGGGCCCTCGGACACGCCGCTCACAGAAACGGCCGCACTGCAGCCACGCTAATGGTCGGGCTCGCGGCCGAGCCCTGCGGGGACGACCTCCCGACCGCAGCCCGTGAGCGCCGCCCGCGCTCCGCGTCGTGCCCGCCGGCGCTCCGCGGCCGTGACGTGCGCGCTCCCGCCGAGCCTGCTGCCGCTCCGGGGCCGCGGCGTGCGCGCCCCCGTCATGCCCACTGGCGCAATGGAGCCGTGACGGGCGCGCCCCCGCCCCGCCCCGCCCCTCGGGCGCTCCGCGGCCGTGACGTGCGCGCGGCGGGCTGCGGACCGTGCGGGGCGCCGGCCGGCGGGCGGAGACGGGCCCGTCGTCCGTCCGAACAGGAAGCAGGCGGGAGCTCGGTCGCCGCCGCCGCCGCCGCCGCCGCCCGGCCCCTGAGCTCGTCCGCGCCGGCGCCCTCCTCCCGGCCTCGCCGCCTCTGCGCCGCGCACCTGCCCTCCGTCCGCCGCGGTGAGTCCGCAGCCCCTCGTGGGGGCGCGCGGCCCCGACCCCGTCCCGTTCGAGGCCCGGCGGACGGCGCAGGTGTGGCGGCCGGGCACCGCGCCTCGCCTGCCGCGGCGGCTCCAGGTGGCCTGCGCGTCCGGGGGCCTCGGCCGGCCGCGCTTCTCCCCGGCGGACCCCGCAGGACGGCGCGGCGCCAGCCCCGGTGCGCGCCCCGAGCCCCGCGAGCCGCCGAGCTGGGGGCCCCTCACGCGCCTGCAGCGAACGCGGGTCGGCGGGGACGCAGGTCGCGTCTCGGCGCGGCGCCCGTCGGGAGCGTCCCCGGCGCCGGGGAGCCGCACGTCGGGGAGGAACGCGGACCCGCGCCGCCGCGGGGAAGCGGCCTCTAGGGCGCCGTCGGGAGAGCGTCCCGGCCGTCCGAGCGCCCGCGGCGCGGCTGGCGCTGGTCGCACCGGGAAACGCGGATCGTGAGCTCGGGCTGGTTATGGTCATGGTGCAAAGGTTGGCAGCAAAACGGCATTTCTTTTTTTTTCTATGTAGATTTTTTAAATCGAAGTGCCACTGGCGTGCATTCACCCACATTACCGAGTCCCCCCCATTGCAGTCACTGCCCCTCCGCCCGGTGAGAGGCCCCAGAGCCCCTGCCCGCCTGCGCGCGCCCCCCACGCCGTGGCCGGTGCCCGCGGCGCCCCCAGGCCCCTCCGGCCGCCTCCCCAGCCCTGCGCTCCGTAGCCCTGGCCCCTTGTCGGAGCCCCTGAGTCCGCCGCCGTTTTGTACCTTCTCAAAACGGCATTTCTGTAGAAATTAACTAAACTTCATAGAAGTCATGGGGTTAGAGTTTTCAAACTGGAAACTATTCAGTGAAAAAATTACCTTGGAGTCATTAATTTTAGAAACACCACACGTTGGGCTACAGCCAGAGCTTGAAACAATGCTACTGTTCAAAACGACTCATTGACTTTTAAATATGCGGCTCATTTAGAGTATTTTCAGTTGTGTAGGAATTCCATCGCAGTGGTAAATAAGTTATTTTAGTCGCCTGTGTATTTACCCTGTTATTGTTTGTTCTGTATGACATGCTACTGTTCTAGCTTTTTAAACTTAAAAAGATAATGGAGAGAAACAACTCTATGTAATACATAGAACTATATCTTACTGTATATTCTTCATTAGTACCTAGAAACAATAGCAAGAAAAATGTAAGGAACTATTGCAATATTTAATATAAATACAGGGTACTAAAAACAGATCATAAATAAAGTTTATCTCTGAAATGGATTTTTCCCTCTGTTTATGTTTATCTGATCAAGTTTTAAAATAACATTGGCCAGGAAATCTGAGATTGGCTGAAGGCTCTTTTCCTGTTGTGACAGCCTGGAGACTGGTGTATCATGTAGCCCATTGTCTCTGGGTTTTGAAAAACAGTTTTCAAAAAGTTTATAAAGAATTTTTGACTGTGTGAGGTCTGAATAAATATAAGCAACCCAGACATTTTTAGAAACATTAACTACTTTTGGCTGTTGGTAATTGAAGCTCCATCTTTGATATGTGAAAAGTCAGTTTTAAAAACATTTTTAACCTCTGAATTTCTCATTTATACATATTAAAACATTTTAAGTAAAAGGCTGAAAAAAGTATTAAAATGTTAATAATAAATCCGATGCAGTTTAATTGTGAGCCCCATACTGGGATACTTTGTATTAATTTGTGAACTGGCCATATAGTAGTATAAGATCCTCGCACCTTTTTTAGGCATCTGCCACAATCAGAAGACTGAGGGACTTAATCTATAATATATTTTCAAGGTTGGTGGTGGTGTCCTTTTACACAGAAGGAAATTTAGGCTCAGGGAATTAAATATTTGCTCAAGGTCATGTAGCTACAGAGGGACAAGGTCTGAATTCACACCCAAGTCTTGTAACCGTGGAATCGTCGCTGTCCTTCCCACCAGCCCAGGTTGCTGTGATCTCAGTTCATTTGGGAGATGGTCCCAGTAGATCTGCAGAACTGGTGTTGTGTTAGATTTAACTTGAGGTTTGAAGAAGGCACCCAGGAGTGAGGATGAGATAGGCCATGAACATGGTTCTGGAACTAATTTTGAATTCTGCATCTGTTTCTTCATTCTTAAGTTGACAGTCTTGAACAGTGATAAGGTATTGCTTTATCATTTCTCGTATAAAATACAGAATATTGTACATATTGCGCACTTTTTATTTTGATGGGTTTATAGGAACTAGAATTAGGTTGTAATGCAACACTAGTTTTTTCATTGTAACTAAAATGAATAGTATCATGTTCCCAGTTAGGACATAACCGTCATCTTTTCCTCAAATGAAATAAATTGTCGCCTGTAAGTGCGGTGGCTGTTTGTAAATATTGTGTATTTAAAACCTAGGGGAAAATAAAACTTGTTTTCAGGTTATGATTAAATTGTCATCTTTACATTAGGACTTTTTTTTTTAAATGATCAATGTTTGTTTCAGGACTGTCCTTTCAGCTGTAATAGACACTTGGGATAAAAATAAGTATTGTTACAAAGGGATCTTTTCTAACAAACTAGGAGTCATTTCAGTAGCTGTTTTATCAAGTAAAAGACTCGAGTCCTTGGTTGAATGAGCAGAAAAAATGGTAGGAAGCATGAGTTGGTTGACTGCTTTTCCGGGTGTCTCATTACTTGGTTTGAACTGTTCTGAGTTTTGCATCTCAAGGATAGTGAAGGGCTTACTATCAATTATTAAGGATGATCTGTAACACATCTGCTTTTGTGTGTGTAGATAATCAAGAACTAACTAAAGTTAAATTCTATTTTTGAGGCATTATATATTGTTCAGTGGAACCAGCATGGTTTGCATTTAAAAGTTATGCTTCTATTTGACAAATTTAGTCAAATTTAGACTGTGAATAATCTTAAAATATAAGTATTAGAATAACTTTCTATTTATGGTTTTTAAAAATAAAATTTTTCTTACTAAGTGGTCAAAGAATGACATAATGGTTTGAGAACTGACCACAGGTCCACCAAATGTTCTCCCAGTGAGTCCTGAAGCAGAGGCGGCAGTAAACCGGAAAAACAAATCTGGCATCTTTAGAAGTCTTGCTTAGTGTTAAAGAGAGAGGAAGTCCTTTTCTATGCAGAAACCACGTCTACAGGGAAACCAAAATACTGCAGCACATTCCTCCGTTGATACTCACAGGTGCACATTCACATGCACGCCCAGTACTGTGCGCAAGGGAAGGTGGTGCTCCAGGCAGCTTTTAGGTCTGTTACATCACTTGTTATTTTGTTTGAGAATAACTTGGTACTTAACCTTTACAAGGTAAGGTACTGCACATAGCAGAATTTATGTTACATGTGGAGGGGCTACTTTTTCAATAAATAGTTGCTGAGGGCCTTCCATGTTTGAAATGTAACAGTGGGTGGGACCTGGTTCTTCCCTGAACTGGCAAATCTTTGAATCTATGAAACAGGAAGAGTGGCAGAGACAGAAAAAGGAAGATGAATAGAAACATCCATGTAAAGTTTGAAGATACATATGTGAAAAGCTAACACATGACATTTGTATGGCATTTACTGTTTTGGAAGTCATCTCACGTACATTTGATCCTTAAAACAGCTTGATGAAAAAGATGTGGTAGGTCACTCCTGTAGGGCACGCAAGAAAAGGGGACAAAAAGTGTAAGAACCGTGCTCAGGGTCACACATGTGGCAGCTTGGAAGCACAGCTGAGAACGGAACTTCTGTCTGTTCCCACAGTAGAGCTTCCCCCCCACCCCAGCTCTCCATCTTCTAGATGTTAGGTTTACATCTTAGCAGCGACTTACTGCATTTTATGGCTTTACTTCAGACGGTTCAGGAGATTCCTGAAAAGTCAGGGTCACTAAAGTGATGATGGTTAAATAGTTAAATGTTTTTCTTTTCTTTTTTTAATGTAGCAGATGAGCATAATGGACTATGATGGAATTGCTTTAACATTTTAATAGATTTATGGAGCCAAAGTTGATAGTTAGCTTTTCTAGTTGGAGATTTTAAAAAATAAAGCCAAAAATTAGTTTAAAAAGGAAGGAGAAATATATTCTGGGGAGTTTTGAGAATAACTTTTATAATTTGGCACATAGGCATCCATCTAATGATTAAGCCTGTTTTGTAAAGGCTCCTAACGAGCTAAGGAGTGTCTGCTTGTTGCCTTTATACCTTCATTCATTTAACAAATATTTGAGTGTCTCCCACGGGCCATTCTAAGTGCCTATGATACAGTGGTGAATAAGACGGCGTCCCTGTACTGAGTGACATTTTATTGTTTTGGGTCGAGTCAATTATAGACTTCTCATAGTGGTGTGCCCATCAGCTGGGCTCGCCCTGAGGCTGGGATGGGGAAGCTGTCCATGTGGTGTGTTTTGATGGCTGCTGAGCCCCGTGTGCTTAGATTCTCCACCTCTGGCCTGCGTGTGCTGAGGCACAGCCCTGCTTGCGGGCTGCTCCTGGTTGGCGTACTGTCCACTTTTGACATGGTGCTGGCATGAGGCTGAGAGGCAGTAAGACTGGGCCCAGGACTGGTATGTTGGGTTTTGGGAGAGGTGGTTGTCACAGTATAATTTTAATGGCAGCTCTTGTTTTTGAGCTCTTGTTGTGAGTCAGGTACTGTGTCAGGCTAGTACTTTCTA